AGGTGGAAGGCGGTCCTGGTCGGGGTTGGCTTGACGCGCCTTCCTCCTGGCACGTTTCTCTCTTTCACCCTCCACTTGTGCCGCTTCAAATTCTACAGCACTGCTGGTCACAGCTGACCTCCAGCTGGAGCGCTCAAGGGCCAGGGCTTCCCAGTTCTCAGTGTCTATGCCAGAGTTTTTAAGGTTGGCTTTGAGGCCATCTTTAAATCTCTTTTCCTGTCCACCAACATTCCGTTTTCCGTTCTTAAGTTCAGAGTAGAGCAACTGCTTTGGGAGACGGTGGTCAGGCATCCGGAGAGCATGGCCGGCCCAGCGGAGTTGGTGGCGGAGGGCCATCACTTCAATCCTGGTAGTCTTTGCTTCTTCCAGCACGCTGATGTTTGTCTGCTTGTCTTCCCAAGAGATTTGCAGGATTTTCCGGAGGCAGCGCTGATGGAATCGTTCCAGGAGTTGCATGTGACGTCTGTAGACAGTCCACATTTCGCAGGCATATAGCAGGGTTGGGAGGACAATAGCTTTATAGACAAGCACCTTGGTCTCCCTACGGATGTCCCAGTCCTTGAACACTCTCTGCTTCATTTGGGAAAACGCTGTACTCGCAGAGCTCAGGCGGTGTTGTATTTCGGTGTTGTAGTTCAGTCCATTGGTCAACACACTGCATCATGCTAGCATTGTACAAAAGTATAGAAAGTTTTAGACGCAATGTAGTGGTTTGATCTTGTTATCGAAAAATTGACCCCTCTCCATAAAAGAATGAATTAAACACATTATTTCTATTTAATAGGTTATTCTGGTGGTGCAGCAGATTACGCTGTTGAACTTGCTGAGCAAAAGGTCGGCGGTTCGAATCCGGGGAGCGGGGTGGGCTCCCATTGTTAGCTCAGCTCCTGCCAACCCAGTAGTTTTAAAAACATGCAAATGTGAGTAGATCAATAGGTACTGCTCTGGCGGGAAGGTAATGGTGCTCCATGCAGTCATGCTGGCCACATGACCTTGGAAGTGTCTATGGACAATGCTGGCTCTTCAGCTTAGAAAGGGAGATGAGCACCACACCCCAGAGTCGGACACAACTAGACTTAATGTCAACAGGAAACCTTTACCTTTTCTAATAAATATATTTTATTAAATTAATACAATGTCTGCAGATGCAAAAATCCTATGGTTCAGTCTTTCTCAAAGGTCCATCTCTGCAACTACCCAGAACTTAGAAATTCCTGAAATGAATAAATCAATCATCTACTAAACCCAAAGCCCTGGGAAGGTGGGTGGGGATTGTTTCTAAAAAAATAAGCTAACCCTAAATAGCTTGTGAAATAATAATAATAATAATAATAAAACTTTATTTACACCCCGCCACCATCTCCCCGAGGGGATTCGGAGTGGCTTCCATGAGGCCAAGCCCGACAACACATCAATAAAACAAAAAGCAATAAGCAAATAAAACAATACAATTAATATAAATCACATATAAACAATAACACGCAAGGATTTAAAAACCCATGGCCAGGCCAAATGTAATACGGTAGTTTAAAATTTAAAAAAATAAACTCTGGGCATGAACAGAGGTAGGATGTATCTGGTAAGAAGGTTTTAAAAGAAATGAAGGGAGAGCAACCCAACGAGTAGTTATAGTGCTTTTGAGGACATTTTGAGGACAAAATCAATTTTTTGAGTGAAGGACATACATTGGGTTGTTAGGTGTATTGTGTCCAAATTTGGTGTCAATTCGTCCAGTGCTTTTTAAGTTCTGTTAATCCCACAAACGAACATTACATTTTTACTTATATAGATAATACCATCACAGGCTATTTGCATTGCCATAAACCATATTATTAAACCTAAGCCTGGTCAGGCACTCTGAATGGCTCCAGCTTCAAATGGAAAAATGACAGCTCTCTGTTCTTCCCACTGTGGGAGAAACTCCATCCATCTCTGACATCAGTGGGGATCTTCCGCCAGCGAAAGTCCGGATCCTGGCTTGATAATTTCTGAGCCAATCAGGAGAGGGAGCGGGTCTTTTGAATGGTTGTCAAAGAGGATAAAATGTCTTGCACTGCTTTGCAAGAGTATATCCTATTCCTTTTGAGCAGAGACTCTGTATCAGACATCCTTTCAGGCCTGAAAGTTAATAAACCTCTGTTCATTGATTTCCAACCCAATCCGCATTTTATCATGTGTTTGTGAAGGTAGCACGGTGCGCTGGGCGATGAATCTACAACACTACTTAAGTGGCTAGCTGATTTTGGCTTTAAGGTCTCTGGAATATAAGGAATCTGGAATATAAGGGTTGAAATCCCCGCTCAGCCATGAAACCCACTGGATGGCCTTGGGCAAATCTCAGAGCTCAATCTTCTCTTTTCCAAGGTAAACAAATGCAGCTCCCTAAACGATTCCACAATGATCTTGATTTTCAGCCATTTCACCATCTTGGTTGTCCTCCGCTGTTATTGCTTGGTGGGCATCACACAAAAAGAAATGCATTCTTCAGAAACAGCAGAGCCTAAAAAACAGATATGTCAATTTATATGCACAGATCCAGTTTTAGACGTAAGAACAATAATGCATCCTTTCACAGGATGAAGGGTGATTAGAGGTAACTCTACACTTTAGAGTTTAATGCGGTTTGATACTACTTTAACTGCCATGAGTCAATGCAATGAGATCCTGGGATTTATAGCTTGTGGAGGCACCAATACTATATGGCAGAGAAAGCTGCAGACGTAGTACAAATATACGTTCCATTGATTCCATAGCTTTGAGCCATGACAGTCGAAGTGGTATCAAATTGCATTAATTCTACAGTGTAGAGTTACCTCTAATCACCCTTCATCTTAGACTATCTGTGTACATACTACATCAGTCTGTGTATGTTTGTGTTTTCATATGTGTTGTTCAGTCGCTTCCGATTCTTTGTGACCTCATGAACCAGCACAAGCCAGAGCTCCCTGTCGGCTGTCACCACCCCCAGCTCCTTCAAGGTCAAGCCAGTGGCTTCAAGGATGCCATCCATCCATCTTGTCTTTGGTTGCCCCCTCTTCCTTTTTCCTTCTATTTTCCCCAGCTTAATTGTCTTCTCCAAGCTTTCCTGTCTTCTCATTATGTGGCCAAAATATGTTGGGCTTCTAATTTGTATGTAGGGATTCTAATTTGGGAGGAGAAGTGGAAACCTATGATCTGACAGGTGTTAATGGACTATACCTCTCATCAACCCCATCTGCATGCTGCTGATCTAGCAAAAGTACAGTCAAGAATACCTGGAAGGTCATAGGTTGAGCAATCCTGATAAATCCAGAAACTCTCTGTTGTGGGCCTCATCCCATCAAGTCCATTAAGTTATTGGGATTCAATGACTGATCCCTCTAATTTAGAATCTACACAACTCTGGTAGTTCAGGAATTCAAACGGAAGGCAAAGCATTACTGGAATTCAAGCAGCATGGATAACCGGAGAGGAAGTTACATTCCAAAGGTATAAACAACTGAGAGATTTACTACGGTGTGCCATTTTACAAGTCCAGGCTAATTTAGTAAATACAGCTCTGAAGCTTCTAAAATGCCACACAGCAATTCATATGCTCTGTCTTTAACCCAATAAAGGGATTGCCACAACATACAAAATCTGAATTTTCCCTGTGGACAATGCAGTGATTCATCAGCAAGAGGTTGTTTTCATGGCATGAGTTTAGGGTATAAACTGAATGAACTACTCAAGAAGGTACACTTAGGTGATCCCTTGTTGTCCGGGGAGAATAGTCTTCCAGGATTAGTGTATTTACGGTGAGTCCGTAGGTGACTATTCTTGACCTGCATCTTCTCCTGCAGTGAGGGCATTGGTTTCCAGGTGGAAGGCGGTCCTGGTCAGGGTTGGCTTCATGTGCCTTCCTCTTGGCACGTTTCTCTTTTTCACCTTCCATTCATGCCTCTTCACATTCTACATCACTGCTGGTCACAGCCGACCTCCAGCTGGAACTCTCAAGGGCCAGGGCTTCCCAGTTCTCAGTGTCTATGCCGGAGTTTTGAAGGTTGGCTTTGAGCCCATCTTTAAATCTCTTTTCCTGTCCTCCAACGTTCCGTTTTCTGTTCTTGAGTTCGGAGTAGAGCAACTGCTTTGGGAGATGGTGGTCGGGCATCCTGACAATGTGGCCGGTCCAGCGGAGTTGATGGCGGAGGACCATCGCTTCAATGCTGGTGGTCTTTGCTTCTTCCAGTTTGTCTTCTCAAGAGATTTGCAGGATTTTCCAGAGGCAGCGCTGATGGAATCATTCCAGCAGTTGCATGTGACATCTGTAGACAGTCCATGACTCGCAGGCGTACAGTAAGGGTTGGGAGGACAAAGAAGGTAAACCTATGTTAGGGACAGGAGCATGGCATAGTTCAGCAGTTTTAAGCGGTACCTAATTTCTCTAATCAAATCTAAAGCTGTTGTTGAATTGCTTAGGTAAACCATGAGCTAGGCTGACAGTTGGCAGTTTACGGCAACCTGGGGCTTTGAACTTGCAACCTTTTGGTTGATAGATGATTTACCAGTTGTGCTAAACCTCCGGCCCTTCCATCTGTGCTAAACCTCTATCTCCCTACCTACCTACCTACTTACCTACCTATCTATCGTGCTGTAGGTCTATAACAATTAATAGAGTTCTTTCTTCTGAAGGGAAACCAGCTCTCTCTTCTTCATTGCAGCTCTTACATTTTACACCAGAACATTTTGAACATTGGGAAATTTGTAGATCTGCATTTTTCATCAGCCTCTGCATTCTTCAGATGATATTAGGGGCAAAAGGACTGGCCTCCCAGTCTGCTATAGTGGCCACTCAGTTTAATTGAACAGGCAGAAATTCAACTGGTGAGCCTTCTATTTCTCTCTCTGTCTCTCTTTATGTTGGCAAAGAGATATGTTGAGCCAGAAGAATAAGCAGCAACTCCTTTTCTCACAACAACAGCAGCAGCTATACTACTGATAACCTTCAGCAGCACTCTCCTTTGGGTGTGTTGTTTGTTTAAGGTGAGAGGAAAGAACTGCCTCTTTTATGCCACAAGTCAAGGAAATGAAACTTAAATCCCCAGACCAATCCGCTTCTGGAAGCCTGTACTTTCACTCTCAGAGCATACACGAACGGGAGGCTCGGGAACTTGGATCCCGCAATCACAAAGATGGCTTTACAGCAACCTATTTGGAACCCGGTGAGTGTGCAGAGGGAGAACAAAAACCCTTCAGGGTGGTGTTGGAAAGACTGTACTTTTAATATCAAAGAAATGATATCTGTAGCAATTGGCCTGCCGTAGTGGTTTGAGTGTTTGGCAGGATTCCTGGAGATCAGGGTTCAGATCAGTGCTCAGTCATGGAAATCTATTGGGTGGCCTCTCTCAGGCTTATAGGAAGGTATTGGCAAACACTACTGACCAGATCATGCTTAGAAGAGCTTGTGAAATGGTCCTTATAAGTCAGTAGACTTGAAGGCACATGAGAATACACTTCCTCATGTTGTGGGGACCCCCAACCATAACATTATTTGTGTTGCAATGTCATAACTGTAATTTTGCTACTGTTCTGAATTGTAATGTAAATATTTATTTATTTATTTATTTATTTACAGCATTTATATCCTGCCCTTCTCAACCCACAGGGGACTCAGGGCAGATTACAGTGTACACATATATGGCAAACATTCAATGTCAATTTTAACATACAACATGTACAGACATACACAGAGGCTATTTAAATTTTTTCTGGCCGCCAGGGGAGCTGTCGCTTTCATCGTCCATCTGCGACACTGATGAAGTACTTCCGCATTCCCCGCATGCTTTTTTGCTGGAGTGCTTTGCTGGAGTCTTTTTTATGGCCTCATAAATTAGTTAATTTAGCCTCCCCACACTTTAAGGTGGTACCTAATTTTCCTACTTGACAGATGCAACTGTCTTTTGGGTTGCAAAGGTCGACAACAGGCTACACAATTGGTTGGAAACCCACTCCAACCCGGGCTGGCTTTGAACTCATGACCTTTTGGTCAGAGTGATCTTAATGCAGCTGACACTCAGCCAGCTGCGCCACAGTGTATTTTCATTCACTGAACCAAATTTGGCACAAATACCCAATATGCAACAAAATTGAACTCTGGTGAAGTTTGGGAAAATAGACCTTGACATTTGGGAGTTGTAGTTGCTGGGATTTATAGTTCACCTAGAATCAAAGAGTATTCTGAACTCCACCAATGATGGAATTGAACCAATCTTGGCACACAGAATTCCCATGAACAACAGAAAATACTGGAATGGTTTGGTGGGCATTGGCCTTGAGTTTTGGAGTTTTAGTTCACATCCAGAGAGCACTGTGGACTTAAACAATGACGGATCTGGACCACACTTGGCACACAGACCCAATGTGGCCAACTCTGAATACTGGTGGTGTTTGGGGAGGATTGGCCCACAATTTTGGGAATTGTAATTCACCCACATCCTTATGCATGTTCTAATAGGAGCATTAATAAAAGTCAAAAGGGAAGTCTAACTTTTTTCCTAATAAATAGCATTTACAAATTACCTAAGCTGCTTCTACTGCTTCCCCTCCTGATGCTGCTGGGCCGCTCTCAGTCTCATGTTGTGTGGGTGCTTTCCTCCCTGCCTTGAAGGGACTCGCTGGCGTGAGCCTCCCTCCCGCCTCGCACGCTCCCCCTCACCCATGCACGTGCACCATTCTGACATGAGCCGAGCATACCTGCTCTCTCCTCTCTGCTTGGAGTCTCAGAAACAGCCCTCCCCTTGCTTGAGAGGTTGGCCAATCACAGCAGAGGAGGGCTTTTGGTGGGAGGATTCTCTTCCAAAAAGGAAGAGAAGGACAGGTGGAGAGATTTTAGGCCTTCTCTGCCAAAGGGGTTCCTAAGACCATCAGAAATATGTGTTTTCTGATGGTCTTTGGGAACCCCCCTGAAATGCTTATTCGACCCCTCTAGGAGTTGCGACCCCTAAGTTGAGAAACATTGCATTAGAAGCAGGCAAGAGCAAGCTGCTGTAGCCTCTCCCAGCTCGTTTGTTCTTCCTCATTGATAGTTTTTTCTGTCTTGACCAACCTTCATGTTACTTCATCCCAAGTGCCCTGCATTTAGTCTGTGGAATGTTGAAAGGTAATAATAATAATAATAAACCTTTATTTATACCCTGCTAACATCTCCCGAAGGACTCGGTGCGACTTACAAGAGGCCAAGGCCCAACACATCAATAAAACAACAGCATAACAAATACAACAATAAATAAAACTCATAAAACAAGCAATAAACATTAAAACAATAGCAATAAACATTAGACAATAACACCACGACGCATTTAAAAACTAAGGCCGGGCCAAATGTAATGATTAATTTTTTTTTAAAATGCTGGACATGACAGGTGAAATAGATAGGTTTTTGGAGATAGGTGCAATGTGCAGACAATCTTAAATCCTCTAGTAAAGTGCATTTGGGACATGATGCTTGGAGTTTCCTATTCTGGGAAGGCACACCAGAACAGCTACGTCTTCAAGCTCCTCCTAAAGACTGCCAATGTTGGGGCTTGTCTGATGTCCTTGGAGAGAGAGTTCCAGAGTCAGGGGGCCACCACGGAGAAGGCCCTGTCTCTCGTCCCCACCAATCGTGCTTGCGATGCAGGTGGGATCGTATGTGTGGAAGACACATTTTGACTTTTCTAGTGGGTCATAAGGATGGCACTTGTTGTGTCCCCCATTGCGTACAGTTGTTTCTTACTTTCCTGGAAAGTCTTCAGGGAGCAGCAGCTAATGGTATATGGTTTGGCATTGCTCCAGCTTGGAGAGTAGAGATTTGCTGGAAAGACCATGCAAACATTTACTAGAAATTACACAACAAAAGGTAGTCGAGAGCTTTTTTTTTAAAAAAAAGATGTACACACAGTTAGAAAAGCTCACCTCCTTTTTATCAGTCTGTTTACTCAAAAGTACAGGTTTTCTAAAAGCGAAGCAAACATGGTTATCCTAATAACTGCCTCCCAGTTATGATTGCATAAGGGCTGATAGTTTCTCTGTGTTTACCCATCCTGTCTTCAGCTCTCAAATCCAGTCTGCCAAATTTATGCCAATGCTGTTCCTACACTGTCTTAAGGGCAAAATTGTCCAGTTTGAAAAACAAATGTTGGTGGCCAGAGACAGAAGGACTTGCGGTTATATTCAGCACCTTCTTACAGTTAGCTAACGTATGCTGGAGGCCTGAGTAGTGGAACAAGCAGGTTGACCATGTTTTCTGTTTCCCTTCACAGACCCTTCCTTTTACTGGCCCCATTTTGGGGGGCTTGAGCGAAGGGAAGATGATTATCATCCAAGGCCAGGTCCGGCATCCTGTGAAAAGGTTTGTCCATTTTCCACCTAAGGATTCCTTTATTTTATTACTATGACGTGACCCTTCCTATACCAGATTCCAAGGACTGCGTCAACCAGTATGTTCAGTGACAAATCGTACATCACTGTTTATTATCCTCCCATGAAAGTCTGCCTATTCCCCTTACTCTATATTAGTTTCCCATAGCAGTCTATTTCACTTCCTCTGCAATACTTTCCCATAGCACTCAGCCTGATGTAAGTCACTGTATATTTCCCCAGTTACTTTATAATATCTCCCAATAGCCTATTGCACATTACTGTATAATATCTGGCCATAGTAAGTTGCTGTACAGTATTCCAGTTACTTTATAGTATCTCCCAATAGCAGTCTGTTCATTGTAAGTTTCTGTATATTGTCCCAGGTACTATATAATGTCTTCCATTTACCTTATAATATTTTCTCAGTGTAACCTGCCTATGTCACTTTCTGTATATTATCTCCCCATATCACATTACTGTATATGATCTTCCCATAGCAGACTGCTTATTCTAGTTGTTGTATATTTTCTTCCCACAACATCCTGCTTATTGCACATTACTGTATCATATATTTCCATAGCAGCTTGCCTGTTGTACTAGCAGTCTGTGTATTACACATTACTGTATATCTTGCCATAGTAGTCAGCTTATTGCACTTTACTGCATATCTTTCCATTACAGTCTGCCTATTGTAAGTTACTGTATATTGCCCGTTACTTTATACTACCTCCCAATAGCCTATTGTACATTACTGTATAATATCTTGCTATAGTAGGCTGCCTATTTCACCTTACAGTACTGTATAATATCAGTATCTTCCTATAGCAGTCTGCTTATTGCACATCACTGTATAATATCTTCCCATAGCAGTCTGCCTATTGTAAGTTACTGTATATTGCCCCAGTTACTTTATAATATTTTCCAATAGCCTATTGTACATTACTGTATAATATATTGCCATAGCAGACTGCCTATTGTACATTACTGCCATAGTAAGTTGCTGTATATTGGCCCAGTAAGTTGCCTAGTAAGTTGCTGTATATTGCCCCAGTTATGTTATAATATCTCCCAATAGCAGTCTGTCCATTGTAAGTTACTGTATATTGTCCCAGTTACTATATAATGTCTTTTCAGAGCAGTCTGTTTATTCCATTTACCTTATAATGTTTTCTCTGTGTAACTTGCCTATTGCATTTCCTGTATATTATCTCCCCATAGTGCATTACTGTATACAATCATCTCATAGGAGACTGCTTATTCTAGTTATATTTTCTTCCCACAGTATCCTGCTTATTTCACATTGTTGTATAACATCTTTCCATAGCACCTTGCCTATTGTACTAGCAGTCTGCGTATTACACATTACTGTATAATATCTTGCCATAATAGTCTGCCTGTTTCACATTACTTTATAACATCTTCCCATAGCAATCTGCCTATTTCATATTACTGTATCATACCAGTATCTTCCCATAGTAGTCTGCTTATTGCACTTGAGTGCATAATGTCTTTCCATTGCAGCCTGCCTATTGCAAGTTATTGTATATTGTCCCTGTTACGTTGTAATATCTCCCAATAGCCTAGTGTACATTACTGTATAATGTCTTGCAATAGTATTCTGCCTATTGTAAGTTGCTGTATATTGTTCCAGTTACTTTATAGTATCTCTCAATAGCAGTCTGTTTATTGTAAGTTACTATATATTGTCCTAGTTACTATATAATATTTTCCCAGAGAAGTCTGTTTATTCCATTTAACTTATAATATCTTCCCAGTGTAACCTATCTATTGCACTTCCTGTGTATCATCTCCTCTTAGCACATTACTTTATATGGTCGAACATAGCAGACTACTTATTCTAGTTATTGTATATTTTCTTCCCACAGCATCCTGCTTATTGTATATTTTCTTCCCACAACATCCTGCTTATTGCACTTTCTGTATAATATCTTTCTATAACAACTTGCCTATTGTACTAGCAGTCTGTGTATTACACATTAATGTATAATATCTTGACACAGTAGTCTGCCTATTTCACTTTACAGTACTGTATAATACCCATATCGTCCTATAACAGTCTGCTTATTTCACATTACTGTATAATACCCATATCTTCCTATAACAAGCTGCTTATTTCACATTACTGTATAATACCAGTATCTTTTCATAGCAGTCTGCTTATTACACTTTACAACACAATATCTTTCCATAGCAGTTTGCCAATTGTACGTTACTATATATTGCCCCTGTTACTTTATAATATCTCTTATTGTACATTACTGTATAATGTCTTACAATAGCAGTCTGTCTATTGTAAGTTACTATATATTGTCCCAGTTACTATATAATATCTTCCCAGAGCAATCTGTTGATTCCATTTACTTTATAATATATTCCCAGTGTAACCTGTCTATTTCAACTCCTGTATATTATCTCCCCGTAGCACATTACTATATATGATGTTCTCATAACAAACTGCTTTTTCTAGTTACTGTATATTTTCTTCCTACAGCACCTGCTTATTGGACATTGCTGTATAATATATTTCCATAGCAACCTGCCTATTGTGCTAGTAGTCTGTGTTTTACATATTACTGTATAATATCTTGCCACAGTTGTCAGCTTATTGCACTTTATTGCATAGTATCTTTCCATAGCGGTTTGGCTATTGTAAGTTACTGTATATTGCTTTAGTTACTTTATAATATCTCCCAATAGTCTAGTGTACATTACTGTATAATGTCTTGCAATAATATTCTTCCTATTGTAAGTTGCTGCATCTTGTTCCAGTTAATTTATAATATCTCCCAATAGCAATCTGTCTATTGTAAGTTACTATATATTGTCCCAGTTACTATATAACATCTTCCCAGAGCAGTCTGCTGATTCTATTTACTTTATAATATATTCCCAGTGTAACCTGCCTATTTCACTTCCTGTATATTGTCTCCCCATAGCACATTACTGTATATGATCTTCCCATAGCAGACTACTTATTCTAGTGATTGTATATTTTCTTCCCACAGCATCCTGCTTATTGCACTTACTGTATTATATATTTATAATATATTAAAAAGCTGTAAATAAATAATATTTCCATAGCAGCTTGCCTATTGTACTAGCAGTCTGTGTATTACACATTACTGTATAATATCTTGCCATAGTAGTCAGCTTATTGCACTTTACTGTATAATATCTTTCCATAGCAGCCTGCCTATTGTAAGTTACTGTATATTGCCCCTGTTACTTTATACTACCTCCCAATAGCCTATTATACATTATTGTATAATATCTTGCCATAGTAGGCTGCCTATTTCACATTACAGTACTGTATAATACCAGTATCTTCCTATAGCAGTCTGCTTATTGCACATTACTGTATAATACCAGTATCTTCCCATAGCATCCTGGTTATTTCACTTTACTGCATAATATCTTTCCATAGCAGTCTGCCCCCGTTACTTTCTAATATCTCCCAACAGCCTATTGTACATTACTGCATAATGTCTTACAATAGTAGTCTGTCTATTGTAAGTTGCTATATACTGCTCCAGTTAATTTATAATATCTCCCAATTGTAGTCTGTCTATTGTATATTGTCCCAGTTACTATATAATATCTTCCCAGAGCAGTCTGTTGATTCCATTACCTTATAATATATTCCCAGTGTAACCTGTCTATTGTACTTCCTGTATATTATCTCCGCATAGCCCATTACTGTATATGGTCTAACTATTGTAGACTGCTTATTCTAGTTATTGTATATTTTCTTCCCACAGCACCCTGCTTGTTGTACATTTCTGTATAATATCTTTCCATAGCAACTTGCTTATTGTACTAGCAGTCTGTGTATTTCACATTACTGTATAATATCTTGCCATAGTACTTTGACTATTTAACATTACAGTACTGTATAATACCAGTATCTTCCTATAGCAATCTGCTTATTGCACTTTATAATACCAGTATCTTCCTATAGCTGTCTGCTAGGCCTGTGCGGTTTCGTTCGTTAATTTCGTTATTCGTAAAACATTCGTTATTTTTAGCATTTACGAAGCGATATCAAAACACATTTTCAAACCCGGAAGGGTTTAAAAATAACGAAGCGGCATCCCCCATCCTTTTAACGAGCTTCCGCCCGTTTCGGAAATGGGATGGAGGATGCTGGTGCCTGGGAGCCAATCCGGCGCTCCCAAGCACCCAAGCAGTGCACCGTGGCTGATTTTGATTGGCCGGCAAGGCCTTTAAAAGCGGCTCTGCGTGGCCGCAGAGCTCATTTGGTGCGCGGAGGCGAGGGAGGAGAGAGGTCCGGGAGGGCTGCTTGCTGCTTTGGGTTGGCTATTGCTAAGGCTTGGATAGGAAGACTTGCATTGGGTTGGAAAAGACTCTTCTGTTGGTGTTTGCTCTCGCGATTGCCCTGTCTTTTGGCTGTGTTAGCTGTTATCAGGGCCAGTTTTTGTTATTTTCCATTTTTGAATATTTTAAAAATACCTGTCTTTTATTCTTAAAAAAATACAAAAAATATTCTAAAAAAAGAAAATACTCTTCTGTTGGTGTGTGCTCTCACTTGCCCTGTCTCGTGGCTGTGTTAGCTGTTCATCAGGGCCAGTTTTTGGTTAAGTTTCCATTTTTGAATATTTTCTAAAAATACCTGCCTTTTATTGTTAAAAAAAACCAAAAATATTCCAAAAAAAGAAAATACTCTTCTGTTGGTGTGCTCTCTTGCCCTGTCTCGTGGCTGTGTTTGGTCCACATCAGGGCCAGTTTTTGGTTAAGTTTCCATTTCTGAATATTTTCTAAAAATACCTTCCTTTTATTCTTAAAAAAATACAAAAATATTCCAAAAAAAGAAAAGACTCTTCTGTTGCTGTGTGCTCTCATTTGCCCTGTCTTGTGGCAGTGTTTGGTCCACATCAGGGCCATTAGTTTAATTTTTCCATTTCTGAAGATTTTCTAAGAATACCTGACTTTTATTCTTTAAAAAATACAAAAAATATTCTCAAAAAAAAAAGACTCTTCTGTTGGTTTTTGCTCTCAGTTGCCCTGTCTTGTGGCAGTGTTTGGTCCACATCAGGGCCATTAGTTTAATTTTTCCATTTTTGAATATTTTTAAAAAATACCTGTCTTTTATTCTTAAAAAAAATACAAAAAATATTCTAAAAAAAGAAAATACTCTTCTGTTGGTGTGTGCTCTCACTTGCCCTGTCTCGTGGCTGTGTTAGCTGTTCATCAGGGCCAGTTTTTGGTTAAGTTTCCATTTTTGAATATTTTCTAAAAATACCTGCCTTTTATTGTTAAAAAAAACCAAAAATATCCCAAAAAAAGAAAATACTCTTCTGTTGGTGTGTGCTCTCACTTGCCCTGTCTCGTGGCTGTGTTTGGTCCACATCAGGGCCAGTTTTTGGTTAATTTTCCATTTTTGAATATTTTCTAAAAATACCTGCCTTTTATTCTTTTAAAAAATAAAAAAAATATTCAAAAAAAAGAAAAGACTCTTCTGTTGGTGTGTGCTCTCGATTGCCCTGTCTCGTGGCTGTGTTAGCTGTACATCAGGGCCAGTTTTTGGTTAATTTACCATTTTTGAATATTTTCTAAAATACCTGTCTTTTATTCTTAAAAAAATACAAAAAAAAATCTAAAAAAAGAAAAGACTCCTCTGTTGGTGTGTGCTCTCGTTTGCCCTGTCTCGTGGCTGTGTTTGGTCCACATCAGGGCCAGTTTTTGGTTAATTTTCCATTTTTGAATATTTTTTAAAAATACCTGTCTTTTATTCTTAAAAAAAAAAAAATATTCTAAAAAAGAAAAGACTCTTCTGTTGGTGTGCTCTCGTTTGCCCTGTCTCGTGGCTGTGTTTGGTCCACATCAGGGCCAGTTTTGGGTTAATTTTCAATTTTTGAATATTTTCTAAAAATACCTGTCTTTTATTCTTAAAAAAATACAAAATATTCGCTTTAACGAATCGATTCGTTATTATCTCAATATCGAATCGAATCGTATTTAATAACGACGCTTCGGAAGCCGCTTTCGCGCATGCGCGAGCGCGTCCACCATTTTAACGAATCGATTCGTTATAGTGGTCTAACCAAAGAACATCTGATAAAACTACACAATTCCCACTCTTGTTTTATGGAACCTTTCACAATATACAGCTATAGTGCAATGATTTTGCTTTTAGTTGCTGTGGCGACATCCTGTGGCACTTGGGATTTTTAGTGTAGGAAGAGGCAATCTGTATTCCTAGCTAAATAAATCTAGTGTTTCACTAAACAACAGGACTCTATAGGCTTGCGGCCATGCAATGAAATGGAATGATAGTGCCATAATGGCATATTGTGAATGGAACCTATGTATTTTCATGACTCCTGTTCTCCTCAGGTCTCCTTGCTCCTCTGCTCTTGATCTCTCTCTTTATTGTTCTCTCTCTCTTTCCACCAAATCTTCACCAATACGTTGCAATCAGGTGAGGTTACCTACGGTGAGGTTACCCATCTTCCTCAAATATCCTCTCGTATTTGAGTTTTGCAGTGAATCTAGCATGTCGGTCTCAAGCATCACTCTGCATTTTAGTTTTGTAGTGAATCTGGTGTGTCAGAACGGCGACATTGCTTTTCACTTCAACCCACGGTTCACTGAAGGACCCGTAGTCGTGTGTAACACGCAGCAAAATGGGCGCTGGGGACCTGAGCAGCGGGTCCGCAACATACCCTTCCAGCCCGGAGTGTATTTTGAGATGATCCTCAATGTCAAGAGCCACTGCTATCAGGTGAGATCTTGTCCGTTCAGCTACGATCCCATTATATTCAAATGTGGAGACTGTAATGATATTTGGCAATGTTGTCGAAAAATTGACTCCTCCTCCCAAAAGTTGAAGCTCAGTACAAGTTTCAAAACCAAAATATTAATTTTATTATTTATTATGTACTAGCCGTCCCCTGCCACACATTGCTGTGGTCCAGCTTGTGTATATGTCTTTTGTGTGTGTATATATTTGTGTATAAGTGTATATATGTGTGTTTGCGTTTATATATGTGGTTTTGTACATGCAAAACCACATATATAAACGCAAACACACACTATGAGATACTATGAAACTTAAAGTGGCATCTGCATTCATTCTACAGTGTAGATCATGCATGAGCAAACTTCAGTCCTCCAGGTGTTTTGGACTCCAACTCCCACAATTCCTAACAGCTGTCCAAAACACCTTTCATGGAGGATAAACCTTGAGTGCATCTACACCAGGTATGGGCAAACTTCAGCCCTCCAGGTGTTTTGGACAGCTGTTAGGAATTGTGGGAGTTGGAGTCCAAAACATCTGGAGGGCTGAAGTTTGCCCATACCTGGTGTAGATGCACCCAAGGTTTATCCTCTATGAAAGTTTAGACAAGGCAAGAGCTTCAACTGTACTCATGAATTGGAATGATGGGAATTGTAATCCAGCAACATCTCAAGAGCTTCAGATTTTCCAGCCTGTTCATGAGTCTTTCTTTCTTGAAAGCTGCCATCTGGTGGTTGGAATCCAAGCCGACAAAGCTTACACACTGTCTTCTGGCCTTTCTTAACCACCTTCACCTCCTCCTTCTCCAGGTATCTGTTAATGGCAGCCACTTCCTGGAATACAGTCATCGCCTCCCATTCCACTTGGTCCAGAAATTGTTTGTCAATGGGGATATCACTGTGAACTGCATCAACTTTGTTGGCAATGTAAGTTGCATGACTCCTGCCTCTCTTGCCTCCAGCGCTGGCGTCCTCGGTGGTACAATGGCTAAGCCCTTGTGTCTGCAGGACTGCTGACCAAAAGGTCGGTGGTTGGAATTTGGGGAGTGGGGTGAGCTCCTGTCTGTCAGCTCCAGCTGATGTGGAGACATGAGAGAAGCCACCCACAGGAAGGTAAAACATCTGGGTGTCCCCTGGCCAATGTCCTTGCAGATGGCCAATTTTTTCACACCAGAAGTTTGTCAAGTCATTCCTGACATGAAAAAAAAAATCCTAACCACTGGTTATGGTTGCTGAGGCTGATGGGACCTGTGCCTTCACACCCAGACACTATAAAGTTAAAACTAAGATGTGCTTCTCTCTTTATCCGGGTGAACTGCGGGTGCCTTACTTAGAAGCTTAGGATTCCCAGCAACTGAGGCCAGTCCAGATTTGAACATCAAACAGAACATTTATTTCTCAAAGTCCTTGACAGACTTGGCACAGCTTGATGAAGTTACAAACACAAACAGTCAACTTGTGAAACCATATAGATGTTCTTTCCTTCCCTTTTCCTTCAGCTGCTGAGTTAACTTTCCCCAACGGTAGAAAAATCCTGGGATCTTTTACCCTAACCCTGAGCTGCTATCTTTTAGAAAGAGCAGGTCTTCCCCTATCCAAGCTCAAGGTTAGTTTGGGGATGAAGTAATGGAGCCTCTCCCAATGGCAGAGAAATCCTGAGATATTCTCTGCCCCAGCGCTGAGCTGCTATCTTTTAGAAAGAGCAGGTCTTCCCCTATCTGAGCTCAGCACCAGTTTCAAAGGCAAGAGGGTAACCGTACTCACGATGGCCTGTCCGAGCTGCCTAGCTTGGCCACCAGCACATCTGAGGCTTTTTCTATACTGAAGAAGGTAGGAGAGAATCTCCAAAATGGAGATCTCATCCCCAGGAAAAAGGGCGGTCTCTGGACCAAAGAGATACTTTTTTAAGCCAATAGCTGCAAAAGGCTTGCAGGCTGGCTTCCAGCCTCTGTTAATGTTTGACTATTAGGGTGCTGCTAAGACTGTAGCAACCCTGGGGAAATGCAAAAGGATGCTATTTCAAGCAACTAAGGGGCAATGCAAACCAAGCTCCTGGAAGATGGAACAGGACCTGAAGCCTAATACTATCTGTAGGGCTGCATCTATTGGGAGGAGGTAATCTGATTTGGGGGCACCTGTCTTTCACATCCCATTTAGAAGGACTCTTTTTGCCAGAGTCAGGGCCTGAAAAAGCTCCTATGAGAAAAATGGGACAGCTATCCCATTGGTGCCACTTACCTAAATCGAATCCAACCCTAGTATTGTCCTTCTTCACTTTCAGAATCCACCACCTTATGCTCCTCCAGCTTACAATGTCGTCACTGCTACCAATGTAAGTAGAAACCTTCAATTTCTTGATGATGTCTCCTTTTGCTTTGTAATGCTACTTCTACTTGCAAAACCAGCAAGTGGTGAAGCTGATGGTGGTCTTTTGTAAGAGTTATCCAAAGTGGAATATGCCCAGAGACTTAGCATATTCATCTTCACAACACTCTGTAAAACACTACCTCTGAGGATGCTTGCCATAGATGCAGGCGAAACGTCAGGAGAGAATGCCTCTTGACCATGGCCATATAGCCCGAAAAAACCTACAACAATCCATTCTGTAAAGCAGTTTCCCCCAAATTCTGATTTTCCAGGTATTTTGATCTTCAACTTCCAGAATCCCTGATCATCAGTTGAGGCATCTGAGCAACTTTGCTGCTTTTTTAATGAAACTGTTAGATCAGCGTTTCTCAACCTGGGGGTCGGGATCCCTGGGTGGGTTGCGAAGGGGGTATCAGAGGGGTCACCAAAGACCATCGGAAAACACAGTATTTGCTGTTGGTCATGGGGGTTCTGTGTGGGAAGTTTGGCCCAATTCTATCGTTGGTGGGGTTCAGAATGCTCTTTGATTGTAGGTGAACTATAAATCCCAGCAACTACAACTCCCAAATGTCAGGTCTATTTTCCCCAAACTCCACCAGTGTTCACATTTGGACATATGGAATATTTGTGTCAAGTTTGGTCCAGATCTATCATTGTTTGAGTCCACAGTGCTCTCTGGATGTAGGTGAACTACAACTCAACTCAAGGTCAATGCCCACCAAACCCTTCCAGTTTTTTGGTCATGGGAGTCTGTGTGCCAAAATTGGTTCAATTCCATCCTTGGTGGAATTCAGAATGCTCTTTGATTGTAGGTGAACTACAACTTCCCAAATGACAAAATCAATCCCCAACCCCACCAGTATTCAAATTTGGGTGTATCAGGTATTTGTGCCAAATTTGGTCCAGTGAATGAAAATACATCTTGCATGTCAGATATTTACATCACGATTTATAACAGAGAAAAGTTACAATTATGAAGTATCAACAAATATAATTTTATTGTTGGGGATGACCACAGCATGAGGAACTGTATTAAGGAGTCGCAGCATTAGGAAGGTTGTGGGGGAGGAGATTGATTTTGTCATCTGGGAGTTGTAGTTGCTGGGATGTATAGTTCACCTACAATCGAAGAGCATCCTGAATTCCAACAATGATAGAATTGAACCAAACTTGACACACAGAACTCCCATGACCAACAGAAAATACTGGAAGGGTTTGGTGGTCATTGACCTTGAGTTTGGGAGTTGTAGCTCACCTACATCCAGAGAGCACTGTGGACTCAAACAATGATGGATCTGGACCAAATGTGGCATGGATACTCAATATGCCCAAATATGAACACTGGTGGAGTTTGGGGAAAATAGACCTTGACAGTTGTAGTTGCTGGGATTTATAGTTCACCTACAATCAAAGAGCATTCTGAACCCTACCAATGATAGAATTGGGTCAAGCTTCCCACACAGAACCCCCATGACTAACACTATAGGAAAATAATTCTGGCCAAGACAGTCCTTTGGTTTGATCCAACATGGGTCTTCTTATCTCCTATAGTTGTCCAGTACCATCCTCCTATCTTTTGAGAAATGCAGAACTTTGCCTTTTCCACTGCAGAAACATTCCAGGACTGTCATGAGTAAAAAGACTAAAGTATGATTTTACTGTTGCAATGCCCAATATCTTCTGAATGATCAATCTATCTGCCTTTGCAGGTCGGTGGTATGTTTGCTCAGCCACACTTTGTACAAACATCCATTTCAGTGAGTATTTATTTGGTTTGGTGGAAACTTTACAGCATCTGCAAGACTCCTGGTCTAAAGAAGGGAAAACCTATATAGTACACAAGCTGCCTGAATTTTACAAATCGTATCTTGACCTGCCTTCTAACTCAAGATTAACTGGGAAGTTCACAGCTCAGTTGAAATTTACAGAGAAGTAGCTGTGTTAGTTCTGTGAAGGATAAAGAGATAGCAGAGATAGGGCCGGGCTTTAGCACAACTAATATAAATATAATTTTATTGTTGAGAAGGGCGACTAAAATGATCAAGGGTCTGGAGAACAAGCCCTATGAGGAGCGGCTTAAGGAGCTGGGCATGTTTAGCCTGAAGAAGAGAAGGCTGAGAGGAGATATGATAGCCATGTATAAAATATGTGAGAGGAAGCCACAGGGAGGAGGGAGCAAGCTTGTTTTCTGTTCCCTGGAGACTAGGACGGAACAATGGCTTCAAACTACAAGAGAGGAGATTCCATCTGAACATGAGGAAGAACTTCCTGACTGTGAGAGCCGTTCAGCAGTGGAACTCTCTGCCCCGGAGTGTGGTGGAGGCTCCTTCTTTGGAAGCTTTTAAACAGAGGCTGGATGGCCATCTGTCAGGGGTGCTTTGAATGCAATATTTCCGCTTCTTGGCAGGGGGTTGGACTGGATGGCCCATGAGGTCTCTCTATGATTCTATGAATATTTAAGATCTATTGAGAATGAGTTGACTTGGAGGTCTCTTCCAACTCTTCCAACTCTTTGATTCTATGATAAATCACCAGCAATGAGGAAGAACTTCCTGACTGTGAGAGCCGTTCAGCAGTGGAACTCTCTGTCCCGGAGTGTGGTGGAGGCTCCTTCTTTGGAAGCTTTTAAACAGAGGCTGGATGGCCATTTGTCAGGGGTGATTTGAATGCAATATTCCTGCTTCTTGGCAGGGGGTTGGACTGGATGGCCCATGAGGTCTCTTCCAACTCTTTGATTCTATGATTCTATGATAATTTTTACCAAATAAAAGGTTGCCAGTTTGAAGCCCTAGTTTGGCATGAGCACCCGACTGTCAGCCCAGCTCACTGTTTACCTAAGCAGTTCAAAAACAGTGTGGAGCTGTAAGTAGTGAAATTAGGTACTGCTAAAAAAGTGGGGGAGGTATTTTATTTTGCCATAAGAGAAAAATATCAGAAAATGCCCAGTCACCAAAAGCAAGGAGGAAGTCCTGATGGTTCTTCGTCATAGAGGATGGAGCGACAGCAACCCCTTGTGCTGGATTCGAGCACAACTTCCAAGGCACCAAAAAAGCTGGATGTCAACACAACATACCTCCTTTCTGTTCTATCTCTGTCCTGTCTGTACAAAACGACACTAAATGTATTCTGTGATCGACCCTGAGTCCCATTGGGGAGATAGGGTGGAATATAAATAAAGTGGTGGTGTTGTTGTTGTTATATTAAATTATTTATTCGTTAAAAAACTTATCTCCCTATTGGTTCCCTGTGACAAGCAAATTTATTCTATGTTCAATGTGTTGTTGAAGGCTTTCATGGCCGGAATCACTGGGTTGCTCTGAGTTTTCCGAGCTGTATTGCCATGTTCCAGAAGCATTTTCTCCTGACGTCCAGCATCTCTAGCAGGCATCCTCAGAGGCTGTGAGGTCTGTTGGAAAATAGGCAAGTGGGGTTTATGTATTTGCCACTCTGGACATTATTCCACAGATACATAAACTCAATTTTTCTTGTTCCCAACAGACCTCACAACCTCTGAGGATCCCTGCCATAGATATGGGCAAAACGTCAGGAGAGAATGCTTCTGGAGCAGGGCCAGAGAGCCTGAAAAACTCACAGCAACCTAGTTATTTTATGTTATTCGTGAATGAACAGTAATTTTAAGGAACAAGAACAATGTGTAGTTCTTTGTATATTAAATCATCGCTTCTCTTTTCCTTCTTTGCAGAAGAAACAGAAGAGCAAGAAGACCCAGGTTTGTGGATTAATATCTGGGAAGCCATAATAATATAATAGATAAATCAGGGCCTTATAACTTTGGTACCTAGATTGTCTTTGGTGCCTTTCGGTTCTGTGATCTACATAATAAGGGTCTTCTCTTTGCTTTTCCCATCTCTTCTCAGGGCTTTAGTGGAGTGACTTTGGCCAATCCCGTGAGTATCTTTACTATCCAGTTTTTATGTTTCTTAGTCCTCAACCACTGAAAATGTAGAAACATTGGACAGCTGTCTTAAAATACATCTGTACTGTACAATTAATGCAGTTTAACACCACTTTAACTGCCATGCCTTCATGGTATGGAATCCTGGGAATTGCAGTTTGGTGAAGCACTAGCACTCTTTGGTAGGGACTTGTAAAACTATAGACTCTGTGGGTCCATAGCATTGAGTCATGGCAGTTAAAGTGCTGTCAAATTGCATTATTTCTGCAATGTAGACATCCCTGTTGTCAACTGGTGGCCTGTAGTAGATTCGTGACAGTCAATGGTTAGTCTTTAGGGTCTTGAATATGCTTCCATGACCAACGTAAAATACTGGAAGGGTTTGGTGGAATTTAATAGACCTTGACATTTGGGAGTTGTAGTTGCTGGGATTTATAGTTCACCTACAAGCAAAGAGCATTATGAACTCCACCAAGAATAGAATTGAACCAAACTTGGCACACAGAACTCCAATGACTAACAGAAAATATTGGAAGGGTTTGGTGAGCACTTACCTTGAAGTTTTGGAGTTGTAGTTCACCTACATCCAGAGAGCACTGTGGACTCAAACAATGATGGATCTGGACCAAACTTGGCACAAATACTCAATATGCCCAAATGTGAACACTGGTGGAGTTTGGAGAAAATAGACCTTGAAATTTGAGAATTAGTGTTTGATATAAGGTGACACCAAGATAGTTAGGAAGGAAATAGTGTATGAGCACTTAGCCATTCCTTTTCAATTTCCTATTGGCTTCACGATTACTTATTATTATTAAGTTCTTATTTACATCACTTACTACTTTTGTTTGAAGGACTAAATCTCTTCTGTTCTATCTCCAGGCTGTCCCATTTTGTGCAGCCATCCCAGGAAACTTCACTGAGTTCCGGAAGATCGCAATTGTGGGGAACGTGCCATTTACAGCCAACAGGTGCCTTTGTAAAGAAGACACAATATTATATTATGAGGGTTGAATGAAAAGTAATGCCTCCATCTTCATTACTTAGGTTTGGATGGGAATATTTTAATAAATCAAACACATAAATAATCCTTAGAATGTGCTCTTTAACCTGCTTGAAATTTCTCTCTGAGTGATACAATTGACCTGAATCAATCTGTCAACCTTTTGCTTGTGAAACACAGTGGTTGTTATCACAGGACATCCAACTCTTTGTCATGCAAGTCAGATGTTCCCACCTCAACATTTTTAAACTTACTCGCCCAATGATGCACAGTACTCACATCAACACAATCACCATAAACAGTTTGCATTCTCTGATGGATCTCCTCAACTGCTGTCAAGAATTCAATGACTGCATGTTGCTTAAGTCGCAATGACTGACCGTCTGCACAGGGTTCCCTACTTCACACTTTAACAACACCACCGTTCAATGCTAAGGCTTCCCACCAAAATGGAACTGTAGAGGAGAGTCTACTGAACAAGCCAGTACCTGGAAGCTGCAATTAGTCCAGCGCTCAACAGCCAGGCTACTGACGGGAGCTGGGTATAGGGAGCGCACAACTCCCTTGCTGCACTAGCTCCACTGGTTGCCAATTAGCTTCCGAGCACAATTCAAAGTGCTGGTTTTAATCTATATCTATAAATCCCTATACGGTTCCGGCCCAGTTTTCCTGTCCGAACATATTCTCCCCTATGAACCATCGAGGACATTAAGATCTTCCGGAGAGGCCCTCCTCTCAGTCCCACCACCTTTGCAAGCGCGATTGGTGGGGATGAGAGACAGGGCCTTCTCTGTGTGGCCCCTCGGCTATGGAACTCTCTCCCGAGCGAGATTAGATCTGCCCCCTCCCTCTTGTCCTTCAGAAATCCTGGTTATGGAACGAAGCACTCCCAGAATAATGGCTGAGAGTGGTTACAGACCAAAGTGAGTGACCACATATGCGGACTGAGTTGGACATGATTTTACCTTGGCGGTTTGGTATATATGTATTTTATCTATATGTATTTTATTTATTTATTTACTTCATTTATATACCGCTTTTCTCAGCCCTTGGGCGACTCAAAGCGATTAACAACAGCAATTTCAATACACACATTACAAAACCATTGGAGCATTTAAAAACAATAGCATAACAACAATTAAACATCAATATGACAAATCATTCACGTCTCATCAATAGAATCAGAATCCAATCTCATCATCCGTTATTCCGTGTTCCTATAATCAATTACACTGCCTAATCGAATGCCTGTTCGAACAACCAGGTCTTCACTTTCCTCCGAAATGCCAATAAGGAGGGGGCCGATCTGATATCTGTAGGAAGGGCGTTCCACAGCCGAGGGGCCACCACTGAGAAGGCCCTGTCTCTCGTCCCCGCCAGGTGTGCCTGTGATGCCGGCGGGACCGAGAGCAGGGCCTCCCCAGATGATCTTAATGTCCTAGCTGGTTCATAGGAGGAGATGCGTTCGGACAGGTAAGTCGGGCCAGAACCGTTTAGGGCTTTATAGGCTAAAGCCAGCACTTTGAATTGTGCCCGGTAGCAAATTGGCAGCCAGTGGAGCTGGCGCAACAGAGGAGTTGTATGCTCCCTGAGTGCCGCTCCTGTTAGCATCCTGGCTGCCGATTGTTGGACCTAGTTGAAGCTTCCGGACCATCTTCAAAGGCAACCCCATGTAGAGAGCGTTGCAGTAGTCTATACTGGATGTAACCAGAGCATGGACTACCATGGCCAAGTCAGACTTCCTAAGGTACAGGCGCAGCTGGCGCACAAGTTTTAACTATGCAAATGCTCCCCTGGTCACCGCTGAAACCTGAGGTTCCAGGCTCAGTGATGAGTGCAGGATCACACCCAAGCTGCGAACTTAATCTTGTATTGTTGTATGATGTTGAATCCTTGCTGTAAGCTGGTCTGAGTCCCTCTACGGAGGTGAGAAGATCGGGATAAAAAAGTTTAAAATAAATAAATAAATACCTTCCACATACCAATCCTGCATCGGTTGAGGAGTTATGAAGGTGGAGGCATTTCTTTTCATTCAACCCTCGTATATGATATGCAATATTATTTTACACTGTTTCGACAAAATCTAAGCCAGTTAGGAAATATCTTGTCATTCACATGTTTGTAGGTTGTGGGTGGGAATCTCTGACGGGTACAGTAAATGGTTTTCTGCCAGTGGATCTTTCTGGTGTCAAAAAACAACCAAGTGTGCTATTTCATAGACAGATGAGATAGTTTCCTTTCTATCCCTCCAGATTCCCTTTCTTTTCCTCCAGATTCCACGTGAACCTGAAAAACAGTATGACTGGCAACATTGCTTTGCACATCAACCCCCGATTCAAAGAGAGAGTGCTTGTCCGGAACTCCTTCCTCAACGGCGCATGGGGTCCGGAGGAACGGCACGGTCACGCCATGCCTTTCTCACCTGGCCAAGCCTTCCATGTAAGTAAGACTTTCCAAAGGAGTGTGGAAATCAAGGCATTAGTTGGAAAGCATTGACCACCATTATGCAACTTGAACAAAAATGACAACATCAAATTCTGCATTTCCCCCCTCACTAGATGGAGATCACCAACCTGAGGAATAACTACAGGGTGATTGTGAACGGGCAAGTGGTATTTGATTATACCCATCGAATTCCTTCAGGACAGGTGGACCAATTGGAAATAGCTGGGGACGTGACTCTTTCTTGCGTACAGTACTGATCAGTCTCTTTTTCATGCACACTACTTCCATGCACGCCTATTGTGGAAGTAAACAGCAAAGCCATGCATTTGGAGTGGTGTTTACTCCATCTGTCATTCAAAAATCTGCTATACACTTCTGTAAACCTAAAACCAATATGCCTATTATAGCTTTCCAACTAGAGTAAGGCAGAAATCAGTTCCAGAAAACTCAAGTACCCTTATGGAATAATTTGGGAGCGGGTGGGGGTGGTCTGGAAACCAGAATTGCTGTATATGTTTCAATCTGATTTAAATAACATATACACATAATAAACATGAAAATATGTATGTTTGTGTGGCTGGGGAGTCCACTTCCACGGACAAGCTCCCACTTCCACAAACAAGTATAGCTCAAACAGGAGACACCAATGGTCCTCCCTCCAATGACATTGCAGGTAATAGTAAGCGCCATGAACATGTACAAGAGCCCTGCCAATGTCCTCCATAAATGCCAAACTAGCTCCCATCCAAGTGAAGGCTTTCATACGGGGACAATTTCATCCTAGATTGTATGTGTTTCCTCCACCATAGGCATCCCAGTGTTTCTTACTCTCCTCAATGGTGTGGAATTTGCATGACCCCGCCCACTGCCTCTCCCTTAACTCTTTCCTATGGTACAGAGCAAACAGAGGAATTGATTTGCTACTGAACATACTAGAGATGTTTCATAACTTATAGGAGTTGTGGGTACTGGGATGTATAGTTCACCTGCAATCTAAGAGCACTCTGAACTCCACCTGGAGCTAACTTGGCACACAAAACCTCCATGAGCAAGAAAAAAATACTGCAGGTCTTTGGAGGGATTTATAGGAGTTGTAGTTCATCTACATCCAGAGCGCACTATGAACCCAAACAATGATGAATCTGGGGCAAACTTGGCATGCATACCCGATATGCCCACATTTGAATATTGGTTGGTTTTGAGGGGAACTGGCCATTTTGGAGTTGTAAGTACTGGGATTTATAGTTTACCCGCAATCGATGAGCACTCTGAACTCCACCAAAGATGACCTTCCTTTTCTAGGAGTTGTAGTTCACCCACAACTAGAGAAACTGTGACCTCCACCGATGATGGACCTGGACCAAACTTGGCACAAAGAGCCCCTGTGGCTAACTCAACCTACTGGGGAGGTTTGAGGGGACTGACTCACCATAGTGGGAGTTATAGTTTACCCTACAGCCAGAGAGCACACCAAACCCCACCAATGATTCATCTAGAGCATTGCCCAACATAACAAACTTTTAGTACTGTTGGAGCTTTTCTGGGTTAACCTGGCATGATGTGAGTTGTAGTTCACCCACAACCTTATGCATTTTGTACAATTAAAGAATGGAATTTTTCAAATAACCCGGGCAACTCTGGGTACCCAAGCTAGTATAGTATAAGGCTTACCAAGTGTGGCATAAAAGTGACAAGAGGAAAGTCTTGATCACACAAACGTGTAATTATTTTCTTAAACTGTATTTGTTTGTCCCTCTTTCCCTTTTGATTACACTTTGTAGAGTTTTTGTTTTATAATTATGCTCTCCTCCCCCTCCTCCCCCAGATAAGAAATAATGCATATTCCAATAAAATAAACATGGAATTGTCGTGGGAAACTACACCCCCCCCAGTGGTACTGTATACTGTGCAATTTTAGTCTCAATGTATCATATAATCTGTAATAAAATAAAGAAAATGTTTATATAAAGTGATGTTTTTAATGCAAAGTACTGCACACACCTTTCTTCCACTAAATTTCTTCCACTAAAAGATGTTCAGATGACTCTGTATTAAGATAGATATGATACAGTTCAGTTCTCTTCCATCCAAATCTAATCATAACTATATGCTTGGTCACCTTCAAGAGATGGCTGTAGTTTTTCTTTCTCTGGATAATGAATTAACAACTTTTGCAGACCCACTTGTAGGTTAAACTTCTGAGCTGCTGAACTTGCTGACCGAAAGGTCAGCAGTTCGAATCTGGGGAGTGCAGTGAGCTCCCGCTGTTAGCCCCAACTTTTGCCAACCTAGTTTGAAAACATGCAAATGTGAGTAAATCAATAGGTACTACTTTAGCAGGAAGGTAACGGGTCTTCATGCAGTCATGCTGGCCACATGACCTTGGAGGTGTCTATGGACAACGCTGGCTCTTCAGCATAGAAATTGAGATGAGCACCAACCCCCGGAGTAGGATACGACTAGATTTAATGTCAAGGGGAAACCTTTACTTTTGCAGACTAGTCTCCTGTCTGTTCGAGGCTAATGTTTGTTACCCAAATGCTTCAGATACCTATATCCATGTAAACTGTAAACAACATAATAAAAATCAGTTCAGAAAATGCAACAGTTTTTTGAAGTGCGATAATATATACAGGACCATTTTAATTTGCTTGGTTACTAGAGGAGTCATTGTGATTGCATATGCTGTGATTTACACACCAGGCAGCAAAGGCTCTTTGTGACAGTTTTGTTTTAAGCTGTACCTTACAGCCAAGGGGTCAGTTTAACACTCCTTCACTTCTGGGACAATCTGGGACAGGATTAGGTTTGTGCTGGAGGCAGCTGTATCTGGATATCCGGCAGCAGGTTGCAGCTGGTGATGATGTCTACCTTTTCAGCCACAGCCCTCAGGTCCTCCAGGACAAGCCGGATGTTGTGTGAGGCATTGATGATGCCATTTTGTGAGTTACTGAGCTGCCCCGTAATGGCCCCGATCTCTTTGATGGCCGTCTGGTACACCTGCTTGACAGTGCTATTGACATCGTAGTACAAACGGGCATTACTCTCAATCAGCTTCTGCTGCAGGAGGGTGCTGTAGCGGCCCCTGTGTCGGGAGCGGAGGGCTGGCTTCTCTTCAACAGCGGTGGGAGAACCCACATCCTCATTCCTGTAAACCACCAGCGGTGGCAAGTCTGGGCTGAGTAACTGTGGCGTCGTTTTGGACTGGCCAGAATTTCCATCTTCCTCCTCATCTGTTTCAGAGGCTTCCCCAGCAACCTTCACTCCAGAAAGGTTGGGCAATGAACCCTGGGGCCCAGAAGACAGGTACACTTCTTCATCCGAATCTGTCTCCGATGCTTCTCCTTGAATTACAGTTTTGTATTTTGAAGTGGTCATTTTTGCACTGACTTCTACAGAAAGAAAATAAAAAAAACAGTCTTTGCTTGAGAATTTAAGAGGCAAGAAGAGATAACCAAGATGACTCTAAATAAGAAATCTTTCCATTCTGTAGAGAGAGAAAAAAAACTGGATGGATATATATATATATATCATCTTACAGATGGGGATAATAATAATCTTTATTTATATCCCACCCCATCTCCCTAAAGGGACTCAAGTGGCTTATAAGACAGCAGCGATGCAAACAGAACAACGTAAAATATACAACAATAACTGAATCAATACAAAGATACACCAAAATAAATCTATATAAATAAAAATGTAATGTTCGTTTGTGGGATTAACAGAACTCAAAAACCACTGGGCGAATTGACACCAAGTTTGGACACAATACACCTATCAGGCCAATGAATGTCCTTCACTCAAAAAAATTGATTTTGTCATTTGGGAGTTGTAGTTGCTGGGATTTATAGTTCACCAGAATCAAAGAGCATTCTGAACTCCACCAATGATGGAATTGAACCAAACTTGGCACACAGAACTCCCATGACCAACAGAAAATACTGGAAGGGTTTGGTGGGCAGTGTCCTTGGTTTTGGAGTTGTAGTTCACCTACATCCAGAGATCACTGTGGACTCAAACAATGATGGATCGGGACCAAACTCTACACAAATACTCAATATGCCCAAATGTGAACACTGGTGGAGTTTGGGGAAAATAGAATCTTGACATTTGGGAGTTGTACTTGCTGGGATTTATAGTTCACCTACAATCACAGAGCATTCTGAACTTCCTTGCTCTCAATCACTACTTGATTTGTAAGCTGCTTTGGGAGTCTTTTTTGGCTGAAAGTGGGGCACACAGATGCAAAATAAATCAATAACTCTCTTTGGATCTGTTTGTCCCTCATCACCATCTCTTTTTCCTTTCCAACCTTATCAACAGATACTTATCGCTCACTATTCAAATGCTTTGCTTGTTAATGAGGAGTGGTTTGCGGAAGCCTTGGTTAGACTACACCTGGAATATTGTGTCCAATTCTGGGCACTGCAATTGAAGGGAGATGTTGACAAGCTGGAATGTGTCCAGAGGAGGGCGACTCAAATGATCAAGGGTCTGGAGAACAAGCCCTACGAGGAGGAGCGGCTTAAAGAGCTGGGCATGTTTAGCTTGAAGAAGAGAAGGCTGAGAGGAGACATGATAGCCATGTGTGAGAGAAAGTCATAAGGAGGAGGGAGCAAGCTTGTTATCTGCTGCCCTGGAGACTAGGATGCGGAACAATGGCTTCAAACTACAAGAAAAGAGATTCCATCTGAACATTAGGAAGAACATCCTGACTGTGAGAGCCGTTCAGCAGTGGAACTCTCTGCCCAGGAGTGTGGTGGAGGCTCCTTCTTTGGAAGCTTTTAAACAGAGGCTGGATGGCCATCTGTTGAGGGTGCTTTGAATGCAATTTTCCTGCTTCTTGGCAGAATGGGGTTGGACTAGATGGCCCATGAGGTCTCTTCCAACTCTATGATTCTATGGAGAGTTTTTCATCTAAAGTGATTTTGAAAGCTTCTGCGCATTTACAGAAGCCATTGAAATCCACAAGCATGTGGACAATTTCAACAGAAAGGAGGAAAACCATGAAAATGAACACAATCTGGCCGCCAGTATTAAAAAACAAGCTCTAAAATCAGGATAGTAGATAAGGAGCAACACTAAAAAAAAAAAAAAAACAGGGGAATAACTGACACAAAACAATCAGGGCCAGCTAACACCTCCCAACAAAGGATTCCACCAGGCAGGAAGCAGCCAGGCTTTGAAGCTGCAAGGCCATTCAATGCTAATCAAGGTGACCAATTGCTACATTCATACCTGCCTCCAACAGACAAGAGTTCTTTCTCCCACCCTGGACATCCCATAGATGTATAAACCCAATTTTCCTAGTTTCCAACAAACCTTACAACCTCTGCCATAGATGCAGGGGAAACGTCAGGAGAGAATGCTTCTTGGAGATGGCCATACAGCCCAGAAAACTCACCGCCACCCAATAATAACAACAATACTGCAATAATAGTCATGTCATGCAAATTATGAGCAACCAACTCACCAGGACTTAGCTTAACACTGACTAGGAAGCAATACTTCCGCCTTTGCTGGTCATATGACTACCAAACGATCACGTGGGGCGCGACGCATGCTCCGTTTAAACGCCCTTACTGCTGTGCTTCGATAGCGCATGCGTGTTGCAATCAGAGCTGTAGATGGAAGACAGCTGTGTGGGCGCATGCGTATTACAGACAGAGCGGTGGAGGCAAAGTCGTTCTGGCGCATGCGTATTAAGAATAGCTGTGACTGTGGTGACGCATGCGTGCTGCGGGCAGAGCGGAGGCTAGGAAGGCTGGACTTGTACTAATATCCACTGTGAGCATAATATAGCCCTCGTCTGCCACCTAGTGTTCCGAATATGCATTTGCAGTACAGTTGGCAGTATACATCCATGATTAGCATTGAATAGCCTAGCAGCATCTTGTCTGGGGGTATCCTTTGTTGGGAAGTGCTAGCTGGCCCTGATTTATTTATTTATTTGCGACATTTATATGCCGCCCTTCTCACCCCAAAGGGGACTCAGAGTGGCTTACAATATATATATACACACACACACAAATATATATATAGACACATATATACAAATATATATATATACACACACACACATATACATACATACACACACACACATATATATTTGAGTGTATATATATATACATACACACACACACACACACACAAATATACACACACACATACATCTACAAACACATATATACACATGCACACACAATGCATGATATGGGATGGCTAGTATATATATACACACACTATATATATACTAGTCATCCCATATCATGCATTATACTAGTATATATATATATATATATATATATATATATATATATATTTACTTTACTTATATACCGCTGTTCTCAGCCCGAAGGCGACTCACAGCAGTGCACAACCAATAAAAACAGCAATAATTCAATGCAAAATATAATAACAATTAACAACTTAACACATTACCCAATCAATAAACACTTACTACAGTAACCGATCTCAATAGTCTCATTATCAAAAACATAATCCAGATTATATATACTAGCCATCCCCTATCACGCATTGCTGAGGCCCAGTCTGTATATAAGTGTTTTGTGTGTGTGTGTGTGTGTATATATATATATGTTGGTGTATATATGTGTGTGCATATGTATATATGTGTGTATATATTTGTGTGATTATAAGTGCATATGTATATTGTGTATATGTGTATGCTTGTCTTTATGAATATTTGTGTTTATATATGTGTATGTATGAGTTCATGTGTATATTTGTGTGTGCATGTGTATATGTATATATGTGTTTGTAGATGTATGTGTGTGTATATTTGTGTGTGCTTGGGTATATATATACATATGTGTATGTATGTGTGCATGTGTATATGTATATGTGTGTGTGTGTATGGTGTATTTTGGGGGGTTTTAAGTCCATTCTGCTGAGGGTATTTTGTATTTTTAGGGGTGATGAACACTCGTTGGACTGTTAGGTGTCTTGTGTCCAAATTTGGTGTCAATTCGCCCAGTGGTTTCTGAGTTATGTTAATCCCACAGACGAACATTACATTTACACACACACACACACACACACACACACACACATTATACCATTAATACTGCATAATACCAGCACTATACATCACTATACTGTACTAAACAATAATATTGTAATATTAGTAATATTACATGTAATATAAATATATAATTATAATATTATTATTAGTAGTAGTATTATATTATATTACAAATATTATAAATCACGCATGGCTCTCAAATATTTGTTGTTGTTCATTCGTTCAGTCGTCTCCGACTCTCCGTGACCTCATGGACCAGCCCACGCCAGAGCTCCCTGTCGGCCGTTACCACCCCCAGCTCCCTCAAGGTCAGTCCAGTCACTTCAAGGATGCCATCCATCCATCTTGCCCTTGGTCGGCCCCTCTTCCTTTTGCCTTCCACTTTCCCCAGCATAATTGTCTTCTCTAGGCTTTCCGGTCTCCTCATGATGTGGCCAAAGTACAATATATTATATTATATTATATTATATTATATTATATTATATTATATATTAGCATTGCACTCATACGGGGACATGAGAGAAGCCTCCCACAAGGATGATAAAAACATCTAATCATCTGGGCATCTCCTGGGCAACATCCTTGCAGATGGCCAATTATCTCACACCAGAAGCGACTTGCAGTTTCTCAAGTCGCTACTGACATGACAAAAAATTGCACAGATTGTTTCCTGTCTGGAATTCCCCTGTTTTCTGAGTGTTCCTTTTTATGTACTGTCCTGATTTTAGATTTTAGCCAGATTTTGTTTGTTTTCATGGTTTCCTCTTTTTTGTTGAAATTGTCCACATGTTTGTGGATTTCAATGGCTTCCATAAATAAACAGAGGCTTTCAAATCACTTTAGATGAAAAACTCGCCATCCTGGATTCATGGCCAGATCTCTTTGGTTATCTACCCACTGCTGTTGGATGGCTACAAATCTAACTTCAGCAAAACACTCCCCAATAACAAGCAAGGCATTTGAATATTTATTTATTTAGGGCATTTATACCCTGTCCTTTTCACCTCTGGGGAGGGACTCAGGACGGCTTACAACAGGCAACCCCGGTGCCGATACAATACATTAAATATTGTATTGTAATACTGAGTGATAAGTATCTGTTAATAGGATTGGAAAGGAAAGAGAGATGACAATGAGGGATAAACAGATCTAAAGATTTTATTTATTTACTAGCTGTCCCCTGCCACGCATTGCTGTGGCCCAGTCTGGCGATCTGGGAAATAAAAGTAATGAGAAAGTGTTGGTTTCTAATATATGTAATTTCTTGCTGCTTGTGGGTAAACAATATTTCTTGCTGTATTGTTGAAGGCTTTCATGGCCGGAATCACTGGGTTGTTGTAGGTTTTTTCGAGCTATATGGCCATGGTCTAGAGCAGGGGTCCTCAAACTAAGGCCTGGGGGCCAGATACGGCCCTCCAAGGTCATTTACCCGGCCCTCGCTCAGGGTCAACCTAAGTCTGAAATGACTTGAAAGCACACAACAACAATAACAACAACAACAACAATCCTATCTCATCAGACAAAAGCAGGCCCACACTTCCCATTGAAATACTAATAAGTTTATATTTGTTAACATTGTTCTCCATTTTAATTATTGTATTGTTTATAAAAATAAGATATGTGCAGTGTGCATAGGAATTCATTTTTTTTCCAAATTATAATCTGGCCCTCCAACAGTTTGAGGGACTGTGACCTGGCCCTCTGTTTAAAAGTTTGAGGACGCCAGGTTCTAGAGGCATTTTCTCCTGACGTTTCGCCTGCATCTATGGCAAGCATCCTCAGAGGTAGTGAGGTCTGTTGGAACTAGGAAAAAGGGGTTTATAAATCTGTGGAATGACCAGGGTGGAACAAAGGACTCTTGTCTGTTGGAGCTAGGTGTGAATGTTTCAACTGACTACCTTGATTAGCATTTGATTGCCTGGCAGTGCCTGGAGCAATCTTTTGTTGAGAGGTGATTAGATGTCTTTGTTTGTTTCCTCTCTGTTGTTGTGTTGTTGTAATTTTAGAGATTTCTAATACTGGTAGCCAGATTTTGTTCATTTTCATGGTTTCCTCCTTTCTGTTGAAATTGTCCACATGCTTGTCTGACATGGTGGTTGTGAGAGTGGTCCAGCATTTCTGTGTTCTCAAATAATATGCTATGTCCAGGTTGGTTCATCAGGTGCTCTGCTATGGCTGACTTCTCTGGTTGAAGTAGTCTGCAGTGCCTTTCATGTTCCTTGATTCGTGTTTGGGCAATGCTGCGTTTGGTGGTCCCTATGTAGACTTGTCCACAGCTGCATGGTATACAGTAGACTCCTGCAAAAGTGTATGGCAAAAGTGTTCTTGCCATACATCAAGGGAACCACTGACCACTTAGGGAAGCTGATCAGGAAACACAACATACAAACTATCTACAAACCCACCAAGAAAATCCAATAAATGCTACGTTCAGCAAAGGACAAGAGGGATACTCTCACTTCTGTCTCTGTCTCCCAAAGCAGTTGCTCTATTCTGAACTCAAAAACAGAAAACGGAATGTTGGAGAGGGAAAAGAGATTTAAAGATGGGCTCAAAGCCAACCTTCAAAACTCTGGCATAGACACTGGGAAGCCCTGGCCCTTGAGTGTTCCAGTTGGAGGTCAGCTGTGACCAGCAGTGCTGTAGAATTTGAAGAGGCATGAATACAGGGTGAAAGAGAGAAATGTGCCAAAAGGAAGGCAAGTCAAGCCAACTCCGACCGGGACCGCCTTCCACCTGGAAACTGATGCCCTCACTGTGGGAGAAGATGCAGATCAAGAATAGGGCTCCACAGTCACCTATGGACCCACCGTCAGGACACTACACATGGAGGACCATCATCCTCAGATTACGAGGGATCACCTAAGTAAGTAAGTAAGTAAGTTCCCCAAAACCTAACATTTCAACAGTGACTTAATTAGCAATTTTAAAGGAAATTAATCAATTTCACAAAGGATTTCATGCTAGTGAATCAACAGTATGGTTTCTAATTTCCAGCATTGTCAAATTAATTTTCAGCCTTAATGGTATTGTAGATGGAGCATCGTACCCAGTTCACCATAATCTCTCCAATGCCTGGCTATTGATGTTCCATGTTGGCCTTTTCCTTTCATTTCGTGGCCTCAGCGTGGGATGGCACATAGTTGGTAGGTGGGTGGGACGTTGGCAAAGCCGCTTACGGATGGCATGAGCTCAATGTCTTTGGGGTCCATTGGGGACTTCAGCGTGAACTTTTGCAGAATGGAAGTCAGGTAGAGGAAGAGCTCCATACGAGCCAAGCCTTCACCAGCGCAAATCCTCTTCCCTATGGAGAGAACAAGGGGTGATTAGTAGACAAAGCCCAAACTCTCATATATTTTGTGGGGCTAAACAAACCAAACTCATGCTATTTTATAGTCTGTGGTCATGAGTGTTTGCCATATCAATATAATGCACATCCACTCTATATTTCAGCCTGAAGTTTAAAGGAGTTGCAGAGCTTGAGCTTCCAAATACGTTCAGGACCTCGGAGAGCTCTTTGCATGCTTAGATGATAACCCAGAACAGATTCAGGGCTCATTTGTACTGCCATATAATGCAGTTTAAGATTTATATAATGCATTTCATTATAGTCATACTGCATTTTGTGAGTCCACATGCTGACCATATAATGCAGCTTCAAACCGCATTATATGATAATCTAAATGGGGCCTTGCTGTCCAATTGATGTAGAAGCAGAGATTACAACTTTTTTTATTTCATGGCCGGAGCTGCCGGTGGCGCAGTGGGTTAAACCCCTGTGCTGGCAGGACTGAAGACCGACAGGTCACAGGTTCAAATCCGGAGAGAGGCGGATGAGCTCCCTCTATCCCTCTTTAACCCACTGTTAAAGAGCCACCAGGGACTCTGTGATGTATTGTAACTTGATATAATTATATACAGTTCACTTCCCATTGAGGCTTAGGTACCAGAAAGTTCAGATTGTAATATCTGGAAGTTTGGGCTAAAATAAATCTGTTATTTTAAGATATGGCACCATGTGCCTTCCTCTATGATTCTATGATTTTCTCCCTCTGTTCTCATGCCTAACATAGCTTAGGTAAGGTAAAGGTTTTCCCCTGACATTAAGTCCAGTCGTGTCCGACTCTGGGGGTTGGTGCTCATCTCCATTTCTAAGCCGAAGAGCCAGCGTTGTCCGTAGACATCTCCAAGGTCATGTGGCCGGCATGACTGCATGGAACGCTGTTACCTGTTCAAATAAAATCTCAACTGCAACTGATGTATAACATGTTATTCCACAAATGACCACAAGGAGGATCCTATGCTACACAGGTAGGCGGCAAAGATCAGGGATTTGGGAAAACCAAATGGCTTGCTTATGTATGTATTTATTTACCTATCATATTCAATAGGTGCTCAAAGTTACTAGCAGTGGTGCTCAAAGCAAAACACAATTACATAGCATGGAATGTTTAAAAAAACGTGAAATAGACAATCCCATCCAAAATGAATTTAGAGCCATTAAAAAACCATGTTCAAAACAGTAACTGCAGTCCCTTTTGCCGCAACTAATTAACAGCAAAAGTAAACAGGTCCTTGTTTGGGTTGTTGTGAGTTTTCCGGGCCATATGGCCATGTTCCAGAAGCATTCTCTCCTGACGTTTCACCCACGTCTATGGCAGGCATCCTCAAAGATTGTGAGATCTGTTGGAAACTAGGAAAATGTGGTTTATATATCTATGGAATGTCCAGGGTGGGAGAAAGAACTCTTGTCTGTTTGAGGTAGGTATGAGTGTTTCAATTGGCCACCTTGATTAGCATTTAATGGCCTATCAGTTTCAAGGTCTGGCTTCTTACTGCCTGGGGGAATCCTTTGTTGGGAGGTGATTAGCTGGCCTTGGTTGTTTCTTGTCTGGAATTCCCCTGTTTTTGAGTGTTGTTCTTTGTTTACTAGCCCAAAGAGAACAGGGAGATTGGCAGCTCCTATGGAAAGTAATTCCATGTTTGGGGAGCAACAACCAAGAAAGCTTTCTTTCTCTTGTGTGCATCCCAAACTCATCTGCGATGGTGGTTGAATGGAGAGAGGCTTTCCTCATAGACTTATGCAGATATAAGGAAATATAATCTTTTGGAAATTTTGCACTCACTTGATGCAGTAACTCATGGCATTGCTCCATAGATTTTCTTTCATACCAGACTATAAAAGAACCCTTGGCAATGTCTTTTGTACTGATGTTACTAATAAATTGCAATTTCTGAATTTCACTGATTATAATGACAAAACACTGGTCAACACATATTTTTGTCCCTCAAATGTTATCCCTGTCTCTGGGTATATTTGACTTTTTGATTCCAAAAATGGCACCAGTTTCCCCCTATCAGCTCTAGTTTTGATGAGCTCTAGTTTTGATGAGACTGGATTCTGATTCTATTGATGAGACATAAATGATTTGTCATATTGATGTTTAATTGTTGTTATGCTATTGCTTTTAAATGTTTCAATGATTTTGTAATGTTTGTATTGAAATTGTTGTTAACCGCTTTGAGTCGCCCAAGGGCTGAGAAAAGCGGTATATAAATGAAGTAAATAAATAAAATAAATAAATAGTTTTTGAGATACGGGAAAAATACTATATACCAGTCACCATCTGTTCACCCATATAAAACCATGATATCTAAGAAATAGAGCTGATGTAGTCTATCCTATGCAATTTTCTGAATCACTGCCCCAAATAATCCCCGGAACAGATCTACAAACCAAGACACCAAGAATGTTTCATTGTTGGGCCGTGCAATCAATATATCAGAATTCACAAGCCAAATTTCAGAGGAAGCAACTGGCTAAACTACCTCTGAGTTCATTTTGCCTGAGAACCCTATGAAATTCATGGGGTCATCATAAGTCAACCAGCAATGTGAAGGCACAACATAAGCCAGCAAGTTAATTTCCAAAGGAAAGAGGGAAATGATGTCTAAATCAGAACCACTTCCTTCCTGATTTCATTCCAGCGACAATTCTCTTCCCCCCAGCGCATGCCCACTGAGTACCTGTGGAAAAGGGCATGAAGGCTTCATTCTTCTTAAAGAGCCCTTGATCATCCAAGAAGTGGCATGGGTTGAACTTTTCAGGCTCGCAGAAGCAGTCGGGGTCTTTCAGGACAGAGGTCAGCAAAGGGATGACATTCAGTCCCTGTGGAGAAGGAAGGAAATGAAAGAACACAGGGTTGCTAAAAACTGTGGAGAAGGAAGGAAACCTACCTGAGGTCCAGTCCTGTCACTGGAGCCAAGGACATCTAACCAAGACTACATTAGAACCCCTTATTATTAGAAGTGGATGAAATGTGGCCCATTGGACTGTATGTGGACCCTGCTCCTCACTTTTCATAGAATCACAGAGTCCAACCCCTCAAGTGGTCTGGTCTTTGACCCTCCGAAGCCTGAAGAGAGGGGATATTTATCTATTGTTCATATCTTGAGATGCTTGTAAGTTCCTTTAACAATAGTGGCTTGTGGCACCTGGGTCCTGGAACGCTGGCCAGAGTTCATAAATATGTCACCTTGCTTAATATTTTATGCAGACATACAAATGGCTAAACCCACAGTGAATTGGATCTCACTATCCACTGCTATTTTAATTGACCGATAACAATACTACAGTTGATGAATGAGAAGAATTATAAACCACTGTCAAAAGAAGAGAAAATCCATATACCAAGAGACCTTTCTATAACACATTTAAAGGAACACAAACAAGGACAATTTACCCGGGATTACGTGTTGTTGTGTTGTGTATATACTAGATATTATGGACTTTTCTCCTATTGATATCCATGTATTCTGTGCTTCATGCGTGTAAAATATAAATGAGTGAGTACCCAGTTGGGTCTTTAAGAGAGAGGTTCTCTTACATTTTGACTAATGCATTCTATAAATATAAATGTCAATATATATATTATATATATACACACACACACACACACTTGATGATAAATAATAATATTGACATTAGCATTGCTTCATAGACAACTAGAACTAACTTGAACATAGAAGTGGGAATTTAAAAAATATTTTTTGAAAATGTATTTTTACTTTACACCATTTACCTTGGACTTTGACATAGATATCTGTGCCTAATTATTGTAGATGCAGCCCCTGATAGTCCTCTTCCCTCCCTCCTTTAGCTATATTTGCTCCCACATAAACCCTTTTGGACTTGAGAATGCCTCTTGATGGTGATGGCGGTTCAGTAGGAATGACCACATGGATCGATACTTTCACCCAGCTTTTTTAAGGCCTCACCTTGGGCAAAGTGTATCCTCGAAACTGTATTGTCCGTGTCATGGCATGAGGGAGGTTCATGGGGAGGACGTCCCCAAATCTCTGCATCTCATGGATGACAGCCTCGGTGTATGGCATCCGGATTCGATCCTCCACTTTTGGCTGGCGGTTGCTCCCAATCACATCGTCGATCTCTTGCACCACTTTTGCTGCAAAGGTTACGGGAAGACAAAGCAATGGAAAGAGGTATGCTACAGGTATAGACTGGTCTGAGGGGAATGGGTTCATTTCTGCCAAAGGATGCTGGGATGGCAATTTTGTGAGGTTGCCAAGAATAAGCAGTTGTCCCGGGGGGGGGGGGGGGGGGAATCACAATTCCCAGGCTTCCTGCAGAGATTTGAATCTGTTTTGAATCCAAACGAGGAAAATTTCTTGATTCTATTTATCATTTGCTTATTGATTAGAATGTCTCTGGAGATCCCAGAGTAAGATTTTCAATGGCTAGAAAAAGTTAAAAACAGATTAAATCCAATTAAAATAGATTTTAATCATTTAATTGTAAGGGTTTGTGCCCCCAAATCTTTAATTAGCAATCTTGTTTTCCCTTTGGTGGCAGAATGGCAGCAATGTTTACCAAAAGAAAGTGTTCCAGAACTGTCTTATTTCTAGATTTCTGCATTGAAGGTGGGACTGAGAGCAGGGCCTCCCCAGCTGATCTTAAGTGGCTCATAGGGAGAGATACGTTGGGACAGGTAAGCTGGGCTGGAACCGTTTAGGGCTTTATAGACTAAAGCCATCATTTCGAATTGTGCCCGGAAGTAAACTGGCATCCAGTGGAGTTGTATGCTCCTTGAGCGCTGCTACAGTAAGCAACCTGCCTGCCGCCGACTAGCCCATTTGAAGCTTCCGTACAATCTTCAAGGGCAACCCCACCTAGAATGTGTTGCAGTAGTCTATATGGGATGTAATTAGGGTGTGGACTACCGTGGCCAAGTCAGACTTCCCTAACTGAGCTCTTTTCAAACATAATTTCTGCCCTAAAACTTTCCTTCCATGTCCTTCCTAAATTACCTTGTATCTCTGGGTATTTCATCAGAATCAGGAATCCAAACCGGAGTGTGGAGCTCACTGTCTCGGTCCCAGCAACGAATAAGTTGAGAACAGACATGATCATGGTTTGGAGGTGAAACTCACTGGAAGGATTCTTGCTCTCCTTCAATGACAAGCACATATCTATTCAGATCTTTACTCCAGAAGGTAAGTCAATCTGCAGAGACTTGACTCAAATACTGTTTTGGCCAGTGGTCCTATTCATTGGGAATGGTTTCTGTCCACAAAATAGCTGATCTCCTGACCCTTCCACAAACATCCCTTCCTTGGGTTGCTGTGAGTTTTCCGGGCTGTATGGCCATATTCCAGAAGCATTCTCTCCTGAAGTTTTGCCTGCATCTATGGCAGGCATCCTCAGAGATTGTGAAGACCTCAAAATCTCTGAGGATGCCTGCCATAGATGCAGGTGAAACATCAGGAGAGAACGTTTCTGGAACATAATCTATATAAATAAAAATGTAATGTTCGTTTGTGGTATTCACAGAACTAAAAAACCACCGGGGCAATTGGCACCAAATTTGAACACGATACACCTAACAACCCAATGTATGTCCTTCACTCAAAAAAAACACTGAAAAACACAGCAGAAGGGACTTAAAAAGCCCCAAAGCTAAAAAAAGCTAAATACAATACAGAAAAAAGGGAAGAAAGAGGGAGGAAGGGAGAAAAGAAGAAAAGAGGGAGGGAGGGAGGGGAGGGAGGCAACGCATGTGCAAAGCCATATATATACACACATATATGCACACACAAAACACATATACACAGAAAGGGGCAAGAAAGGAAGGAAAGAAGGAGGGAGAGAAAGAGGAGGGAAAGGAGGGAAGGAGAGAAAGAAATACAAAAGTGAAAGAAGGCAGGAAAGAGGGAAAGAAGGAGAGAAGGAAGGAAGAAAGAAAGAGGGAGGGAATGGAAGAAGGAAAGAAAGAAAGGTAGAGAAGGAAGGAAGAAGAAGGAAATACAAAAGTGAAAGAAGGCAGGAAAGAGGGAAGGAAGGAGAGACGGAAGAAAGAAAGAGGGAGGAAGGAAGGAGAGAAAGAGGGAAGGTTGGCCACAGCAAAGCGTGGCGGGTACAGATAATAATAATAATAATAATCATCATCATCATCATCATCATCTTTATTTATCCCCCACCACCATCTCCCCAAAGAAGACTCAGGCAGCTAACATGAGGCCAAGCCCAAAAATAATACAGCAAAGTTAGACATAAAACAAAAGAAAAATACATAAAGTAACAAAATAAAATAAACAGTGCAAAATAACATAATAAAATCAAACACAAAGGTCAGGCCAAATGTACCGGATAAAATATTAAAACCTTAACACCCTGGGTGAGATAGGAATAGAAAAGGTGTATTTGAGAGGGAGAAGCCTGAAAAACTTACAGCAACCCAATGATTCTGGCCATTAAAACCTTTCAAAACACATCCTTCCCTTATTTTTAAAATATTTCTATACCTCTCTTCATTACCAAAATTCCAGGATGGTGTAGAAAAAGGAACACATTAATTATATTATGTAAACCCTTCCAAGGAAATGGAGAAATATGAACAAGCTAGCTCTTAAAATAGCAAGACCTTGGCCAAATAAATATGTTATCTGCTGGTGCCCAAATGCCACCACATTTGTCATGTGTACACTGAAAGTAATTCCAAAAAAAAAAAAACATTCTAAATTTGTATCATATAGTGTTGGACCTGAAACTAGATTTCTTCATCACTGGCAATGCTGACTAAGGGTCAGGAATAGAAAGAATATGGTATTTAATTTTTTTAAAAAGAATAGTAGAAAAATGTATTCCATGAATGACAGAAAACCCTAATGAGGTCATTTTTGCATCGGAAAAAATGTTCTTTTCTATTCAGAAAAAGCTGTTTTCTGCAGGTGTGAAACACATCTGTGAATTTTGTGTAGAAAAATCCACAGTTTTCAAAGACTTTTTTTGCAGCTGGAAGAACGATGCCAGATTATTCATTGCTTCCGTTGAGTGAAATTAGACAGATTAGATTATGATGATGAAAGTCATAGGGCAATAACATCTTTGCATGATTTATAGCCAACATATTTTCAGTGTTGTCGAACATGTTATTAAAAAAAGATTATAATAAGGGCACAGGATCTAAATACATACTGCTGCCATTACTGTTATTCATGTGGCTTCCTTGCGTCTAAAGCTGTGGTCCTCAACCTGTGGGTCCCCAGATGTTTTGGCCTTCCACTCCCATAAATCCTAACAGCTGGTAAACTGGCTGTGATTTCTGGGAGTTGTAGACCAAAACATCTGGGGACCCACAAGTTGAGAACTACTAGTCTAAAGACTACCAGAGCACATTATAAGATTGAATTTTGAAAAATTAAGTACAACATCCTTTTGTAAAAGAGATACTAAAATAGTAGAGCAACTGTTTTAAAGTAATAGCCTTGCAATAGAGCTCAGAAAGGTCTCCCAGTTCTTAGTACATAAGGAGATTTGAATGTGGTGCCAAAAGTATATCAAATGTGGCACTTCCCATTGACTTTCCAAGAGGACACCTTTAAGTGGGAAAGGGCCACTTAACTCAGTGTTTCTCAACCTGGGGGTCAAGACCTCTGGGGGGTCACGAAGTGGTTTCAGAGAGGTTGCCAAAGACCATCAGAAAACATAGTATTTTCTCTTGGTCATGGGGGTTCTGAATGGAAACTTTGGCCCAATTTTATTGTTGGTGGTGTTCAGAATGCTCTTTGATTATAGGTGAACTCTAAATCCCAGCAACTACAACTCGCAAATGTCAGTGTCTATTTTCCCCAAACTCCACCAGTGTTCACATTTGGACATATTGAGTTTCCATACCAAGTTTGGTCCAGATCCATGATTGCTTGAGTCTACGATGCTCTCTGGGTGTAGGTGAACTACCACTCCAAAACTCAAGGTCAGTGCCCACCAAAGCTTTCCCTTATTTGCTGTTGCTCATGGGAGATCTGAGTGCAAAGTTTGGTTCAATTCCATTGTTGGTGGAGTTCTGAATGCTCCTTGATTATAGGTTAACTATAAATCCCAGCAACTACAACTCCCAAATGACAAAATTACCCCCTCCCTCTCCCCCACAACCCCACCAGTATTCAAATTTGGGCATATTAGGTATTTGTGCCAAATTTGGTCCAGTGAATGAAAATACATCCTGCATATCAGATATTTACATTATAATTCATAACAGGAGCAAAATGACAGTTATGAAGTAGCATCAAAAATAATTTTATGGTTGGGGGTCACCACAACATGAGGAGGTCGCAGTATTAGGAAAGTTGAGAACCACTGACTTAACTGATTTGGTCCTTCTGTGGGACAGAACAATGATACCTTTTCCATCTGAATAAGAAAGCAGTCAATATAGTCGCGTGGGTTCTCAGGATCCAGTGAAGCCTTGTTTAGTTTGACCCTCTCAGCCACAAAATCACAGATGTCCTGAAGATTTTGGAACAGTTTCTGGTGGGGGCCTGGCAGGTGCTTCATAATCGAGGAGAACATTTCATACAGCTGCAGGTGGGATGGGAAGCAAATACATTATCTATCTATCGACCTATCGACCTATCGACCTATCGACCTATCGACCTATCTATCTATCTATCTATCTATCTATCTATCTATCTATCTATCTATCTATCTATCATCTATCTATCTATCTATTCATGTTATGTTATGGATGGTTGAATTGTTTTGGGCTACAACTCCCAGAAATCCCAGCCGATTTACCAGCTGTTAGGGTTTCTGGGAGTTGTAGGCCAAAAACATCTGGGGACCCCAGGTTGAGAACCACTGATCTATGCAATTATAAATTAAGCTATATTTCAAGAAAGCACATCAAAGCCACCAACAGTGAATATAAATCATAATATTCATAGCCCAGTGGTTCTCAACCTGTGGGTCCCCAGATGTTTTGGCCTACAACTCCCAGAAATCCCAGCCAGTTTACCAGCTATTAGGATTTCTGGGAGTGGAAGGCCAAAACATCTGGGGACCCACAGGTTGAGAACCATTGGGCTAGATTCTTATGTCATCTAAATATATTAGACTAAGCACCTTCTCCTGACCTGATCCCAGTCCTCCAAACCCAATGGAAATGTTCTTCACCCATATTCCGATCCCCAGGAAAATGAATCTCCTTCTCTCAATGAAGCTGATATACAGTAAAGTAGGGTTTCGAAGGGAGTGAAGATTTCTGGCAATAGTGTCCATTATGGTACATCTATATAAATAAAAATGTAATGTTCATTTGTGGGATTAACATAACTCAAAAACCACTGGACAAATTGACACCTAATTTGGCCACAGGACACCTATCAGGCCAATGAGTGACCATAACTCATAAAAACACTGAAAAACACAATGAAAGGGACTTAAAAAGCCAAAAAAGGAAAAAGACGCTACAACACATGCGCAAAGATGACCCCCCCCCAGCAAACAAAACACACAATAGCATATCCACACTCTCTTCTGGACTACAGCTCCCAGCATCCCCTAGACCAGGTCTTTTAGGAGAAGAGGATGATCCAAATGCACTGCTTCCAAGATGCGAGCTTTCTTCTCCTTGGATTTCTTTGAGAGCATCCCAATCGATGCATATTTCCAATTTCCTATTCCTGGACTGCAACTCCCAGCAATCCTCCAAATAGATAAGATAAGTAGAGATAGATAGGTAGGTAGATAAATCGATCAGGAGGACTGCTGGGAGTAGATAGAGAAGAAAGAAAGAGGAGAAAAAGGAAGAGAAAGAAAAGGGGAGGAAGGGAGGGAAGAGGAAGAGAAAGAAGGAAGGAGAGAAGGAAAGAATAAAAGGGAAGGAAGGAGAGATAGGAAGGAGGAGAGAAAGAGGGAGGGAAAGAAAAAGGGGGGAAGGGAAGAGGAGGAGAAGGAAGGAAGGAAGGAAGGAAGGAAGGAAGGAAGGAAGGAAGGAAGGAAGGAAGGAAGGAGGAAAGAATAAAAGGGAAGATAGGAAGGAGGAGAGAAAGAGGGTGGGAAAGTTGGTCACAGCAACGCCTGGCGGGTACAGCTAGTCATTAATATAGAATAGTAATGGATGCTCCTCTTATGGGTCACAGGCCTCATTTATCTAAATCACAAAATTGTGGAGTTGAAAGGTCTCCCAAGGGCCATCTAGTCCAAGCCATTTTCAGAGATTTTGAACACTTCCTATTTGTTTAGTTTCTAAGATTTTTTTTAAAAAAGAGCTCTTTAAATGTTTAATCTAGTTGAAACTTGGAACCTTCTTCCCATGACAACCACCACTATGATCCCTTGCTGAGTTTGCCCAGGAAGGAGTGTCCAGAAAGATAGGCTGCCTTTGTACATGGGAGTTCTACTTGGGTGTCACAGCTGATGTTTATTCCTCTTCTTAAAAACACTATTTATATCGCAGCTTAACAGTAAGCTCCCAGGGCTGTTATAGAAAACGAGATTAAACACAAATTAGGGATCGACCTTGTTAAACTCTCCTCCCTGAATGTATCTAATCCTCCTTTTTAAAACCATTGGCCATGACCACTCCTTTTGGCAAGGAATTGTACCAGGTAATTCTGCACTGGGTAAAGAAAGGCTATCTCAAAATGTCCTGCCAATCAGTTTCCTTGGACAATTGTTCCAGAAATGTTTGTGAAACAAGGGTGATGAAAACACCTCTGCCATATTGGGCTTCACCTTTCAAGTGGAGCCTTTCCAAGGCTGATGAGTCAACATTTTCGCTCTTGCAATCTGGCTCTGTGCTGTCGCATGCTGGCCTGTGCATCAGACTGTAGACAGGACATAAATTCTGTGTGCCCAACGGGACGCCGGGGCTGCCTCAGATTAAAGGCCCTTAGATTTCCTTAAAACAGAATCTTTAGATTGCTTAAAAAGTTCAACAAAGTTCTTTATTATTGAAAACAAACAGGTACTTTAAGGCTTTCTTAACTGTCTATTGGCTCTCTCTCAATCTTGTCCACAGGGAACAGGCACTATCTTCATAACTATAACTAATGGGGAAATCCTTAACTTCTAATCTGGGCAGTCTGTCTTTGCCTCTGTTGGCGTGGAGCCCCTGCACCCGGTACCAACTGCTTCTGGCTTCCGCGAGTGACCCTTACCAAACAGAGCTTTGTAGATTTCCAGGGAAAAAGGAGTTCAGGTTTCAGTGATGGCTGACTGAAGTCCCTCAGCAAAGGAGCTGTAAGGCTGTATATCTTCCGGCCAAGCTGTGGGGCTGTATCTCCCCGGCCAAGCTGTAGAAGATGAAGCTTTCTACAGGAGCTCTTAGTATTATGTCCTGTATGAAAGGCTTCTCTGTGTGGACTGAACCCAAACTGGCTCCTATTTCCTCCAAAACCCAAAAAGGGGGTGGGACCAGGGGACCTAACTATAATTGACAGGTGGCTTGCCCTATGATTGCAGCCAAAAGAAGCCACCTATCTGCAGAGTCCCTGAAACTTAGGACTACAACAAACATTCAATGCAAAGCAAACGAAATTGGAGCTCCTGGTACAGCTGTACCTGCACAGGTTCCATCCCATTATGTCACACTGCCAGACCACTGATATAAACTACTGTTTTTTTGGCCTATCCTCCAACATTTCAGAAATGGAAACTGGAACAATCCATATGTGGGTCAGGATGGCAAACATTATTAATGTGGAAGAACATACGAGCTAGGAGAGTTTGCTTTTGCCTGAGCCTGTTGGGAAAGGCAAGATGGTTCCCTTTTCTTTTACTGAGTTAAGTGAGTGCAAACTCCTTTTGCCATTTGAACTCAGTTTGCTGCAACTGAAGTGAGCTGGGGACAAAAAAGGAAGAGTGAGAAGAATAATAGAATCATAGAGGTGGAAGAGACATTGTGGGCCATCCAGTCCAACCCCCTGCCAAGAAGCAGGAAAATCATGCTCAAAGCACCCCCAACAGATGGCCATCCAGCCTCTGTTTAAAAGCCTTCATGGAAGGAGCCTCCACCACACTTCGGGGCAGAGACTTCCACTGCTGAACAGCTCTCACAGTCAGAAAGTTCTTCCTAATGTTCAGATGGAATCTTCTTTCCTGTAGTTTGAAGCCATTGCTCCCCGTCCTAATCTCCAGAGCAGCAGAAAACAAGCTTGCTCCCTCCTCCCTGTGACTTCCCCTCACATATTTATACATGGCCCTCAGCATGTCTCCTCTCAGCCTTCTCTTCTGAAGGCTAAACATGCCCAGCTCTTTAAGCCGCTCCTCATAGGGCTTCTTCTCCAGACCCTTGATCATTTTAGTTGCGGTCTTCTGGACATCTTCCAGCTTGTCGATATCTCTCTTTTATTGTGGTGCCCAGAATTGGACACAGTATTCCAGGTGTGGTCTAACCAAGGCAAAATAGAGGGGTAGCATGACTTCCCTGCATCTATACCAGGGGTCCCCAAATTAAGGCCTGGGGGTTGGATACAGCCCTCCAAGGTCATTTACCCAGCCCTTGCTCAGGGTCATCCTAAGTCTGAAATGACTTGAAAGCACAAAACAACAACAACAATCTCATCAGCCAAAAGCAGGCCCACACTTCACATTGAAATATTAATAAGTTTATATTTGTTAAAATTGTTTTTCATTTTAATTATGTTATTGGTTTAAAGTATTTTTGGCACTACAAATAAGATATGTGCAGTGTGCATATGAACTCATTCATGTTTTTGTCAAATTATAATCTGGCCCTCCAACAGTTTGAGGGACTGTGACCTGGCCCTCTGTTTAAAAAGTTTGAGGACCTCTGTCTCAAACACGATTGGCGGGTACGAGGGACAGGGCCTTCTCATTAGTGGCCCCCCACCTGTGAAATTCACTCCCTGGAGAAATTAGGTTATCTTCATCCCTCTTCTCCTTTAGAAAGAAGTTAAAAATGTGGATGTGGGACCAGGCCTTCGGGTAACCATGCGGACAATGGCAATGATGACAATGCCTATGGTAATGAACTATGCATAAGTTCGATGGAGTCTCCAACCGCAGAATTCGGCTAGATAAAGGCCACTAGACTGGTATTGGTTAATAATTTTTAGTTGTACTGATTTAACATTTTTAACTATATATAATTATTGGTTTTGTTATGTATTTTATTATGTGTATAGAGGCATCGAATTGTTGCCATCTGGAAGCCGCCCTGAGTCCCCCTCACTCCCAAGGGGTTGAGAAGGGCGGGGTAAAAATATTTGAAAGAAAGAAAGAAAGAAAGAAAGAAAGAAAGAAAGAAAGAAGGAGGAAGGAAGGAAGGAAGAACAGAAACTATGGAGAGTTAATTAACCAAAAGTCAGGAAGTTATGGAGAGTAAATGATTACAAAAGGGTTCAGTGGAATTCACTTCTCTGTAAAGCTGTGGCAAATGTAGTTTTTAATAAATTGCTATTTTGATTTCAGGCTAATAACTCAAGACCTTGCATTCTTCTGAAATAGTGTGACCCATGGAGTGGATGGAAAGCAGAAAAGGAAAAGCAAGAAAGGAGAAAATTGGGAGGAGGTTGAGGAAATGTGTTTGCTTTGCACATTTGAATAAAATCAGGATAAAAATGGAAATTTGGATGTACTGGGTTGTTGTAGGTTTTTCGGGCCATATGGCCATGTTCTAGAAGCATTCTCTCCTGACGTTTCACCTGCATCTATGGCAAGCATCCTCAGAGGTTGTGAGGTCCTTACAACCTCTGAGGATGCTTGCCATAGATGCAGGCGAAATGTCAGGGAGAATGCTTCTAGAACATGGCCATATAGTCCGAAAAACTACAACAACCCAGTGATTCCAGCCATGAAAGCCTTCAACAATACATAGTTTGAATGTATTCTTGATCTGCATCTTCTCCCACAGTGAGGGCATCGGTTTCCAGGTGGAAGGTGGCCCGGTTGGGGTTGGCTTGATGCGCCTTCCTCTGGGCACGTTTTTCTCTTTCGTCCTCCATCCGTGCCTCTTCAGATTCTACAACACTGCTGGTCACAGCTGACCTCCAGCTGGAGCGCTCATAGGCCAGGCCTTCTCAGTGTCTATGCCAGAGTTTTTAAAGTTGGCTTTGGGCCCATCTTTAAATCTCTTTTCTTGTCCTCCAACATTCGATTTTCCGTTCTTGAGTTCGGAATAGAGCAACTGCTTTGGGAGACTGTGGTCAGGCATCTGGACAACATGGCCAGTCCAGCAGAGTTGATGGCGGAGGACCATCGCTTCAATGCTGGTGGTCTTTGCTTCTTCCAGCACACTGACATTTGTCCGCCTGTCTTCCCAAGAGATTTGCAGGATTTTTTGGAGGCAGCGCTGATGGAATCGTTCCAAGAGTTGCATGTGACGTCTGTAGACAGTCCATGTCTCACAAGCGTATAGCAGGGTTGGGAGGACAATCGCTTTATAAACAAGCACCTTGGTCTCCCTAAGGATGTCCCAGTCCTCAAACACTCTCTGCTTCATTCGGAAAAATGCTGCACTTGCAGAGCTCAGGTGGTGTTGAATTTCAGTGTCAATCCTGACTTTTGTGGAGAGGTGGCTGCCAAGGTAGTGGAAATGGTCAACATTTTCTAATGTTACACCATTAAGCTGTATTTCTGGCATTGGAGAGGGATTGGCTGGTGACTGCTGGAAGAGCACTTTGGTTTTCTCAATGTTCAATGAGAGGCCAAGTTTTTCATATGCTTCTGTGAAGGTGTTTAGAGTGGTTTGTAGGTCTTCTTCTGAATGTGCACAGATGCCGTTGAACTAGTCCAGAAGTCATATGGTTGTATGACTGATGAGTATGAAGCCCTGGCTTCTGTTTATGTATTGTCCGTCTTTGTTGTTAACTGTATAATGGCATCGAATGTTTGCCATATATGTGTTCTGTAGTCCGCTCTGAGTCGCCTCAGGGAGATAGAGCGGAATATAAACAAAGTATATTATTATTATTATTATTATTATTATTATTATTATTATTATTATTGTTCTCACCTGACCTGAGGTGGTACTCATCCTCACAAAAGAATCATTTATCTTGGTTAGTAAGGAGAGGAAGTCTTTGTCTTTGTAGTCGAAGCGTTGGCCAAAGACAATGGCACAGATGACATTGGAGACTGTACAGCTCAGGAAAAACGTGGGGTCAAATAGTGAACCTGCAGAAAGGAATCAGGTCTTAGCATGATGGACAATTCAACCCTTAACTTAGTCTAAAGAATGACTTTAGTGGCTTTTTTTTTCAGTGAGACTTTCATAGTAACAGTTAGGCTTGTGCATGGATTTCTTTTGGTTGGTTTCCTTTGGCCAATCCAGCTTGTTTGGCTTGCTTGGTTGGCCATAATGGCAAAGGCTCAGCTGCCATGTTTTTTTTCCATCTAGAACTGGCCACATGGCAGCTGGTCATGTCTCTTCCTCTCCTATTCGGCATTGCATGGCTTTACCTCTGAGCCCTGCCTGTTGGACCAATCAGAATAGATGAATGCCATGATATATCTTATGCAAGCTGTGTCTATTTAATGGGGTAGTGCCTCCATTGCCCAAGGTTGCATCCTGGCTCTAGAGAGATGCTTCAGTCTGATTGCCTTTCTTTATTTTTTGGCTTTGCTTGGCCTCTCTCTAGCATTGAATCTTTTCAGTTTTCCTTTATTTTCTTGATTCTTTTTATTTAATGGGACTGGGAGTTGGGAAAGTGGTGGGTGGAGTGCATGCCAGTATTTGGGGACTTGGGAGGAAGAAGGAGCATCTCTTTGCTCTTGGTGTGCCTTTATTTATAAATATTTGGGTGGCTCTGAAAGCCTAGCTTCTTTTTCTCCTTTCCTTCCCTCCTTCAGAAAATACCTTTAAAACATAACAACAACAACAACAGGAAAAACTGACACGATATGAGGATTTAAAGATCAAAATGCAAAGACTCTGGCACAAACCAGTAAATGTGGTCACAATGGTGATCAGCACACTGGGTGCTGGGTGCAGTGCCTAAAGACGTTGGCCTGCACTTAAACACAGTCACCACTGACAAGATTACCATCTGCCAGCTGCAAAAGCCCACTGGGATCTTCATGTATTATTTGCCGATACATCACACAGTCCTAGACACTTGGGAAGTGTCTGACGTGTGATCCAATACAACAGCCAGCAGAGTGATCTTGTTTGCTGTGGACTCATCTGATTGTGTTTGAAATAATAATAATAATAATAATAATAATAATAATAATAATGTATTGTCGAAGGCTTTCACATAATAATAATAATAATAATAATAATAATAATAATAATAATAATAATAATACCAGAAAACAAACAGAAAAGCCTCATTCTCAGAAAATGACTACCTACCCAGTTACCTACCTACTTACCTATAATTTCATTCCTTTGCAAACAAACTCTCTCTATTTATATTTCTCTCTATGCTCTAAAAAGAAAAGAAATTTCCTAAAAATCAGGGGATGACTCAAACGTTATGAAAGTGTGGAGAAGAGCAAACCACAGACTACTTACTACAATGCAGTCTGAGCTTTGCCACATGCACATTGGAGGACCTTTTTATAGCAACACCAGAGGCACTCCAAGTGGCCAGCTTCTGGTCAAAGGACATTTAATATAACGCCAAGTTTTCAAACTTTGTGGGGTTTTTGTTTGTTTTTTAAATACATTATAACTGCACCCTTGGTTCACTCCTGATAAATAAATAAATAAATAAATAAATAAATAAATGGATGACCCAAACATTATGAAACTTGGTGGGCTAAAAGTGGTAGATGTGTTCTCCAAGTGTGGTCATTCTCATTCTGACAGCCCTAAAAATAATGGGAAGGGGAGCCTCCCCCATTGTCACCAATGGGCCACATGTAGCTGTATTTTTTGGCTGAGGACTGAAAGTGGCTATTTGGCTGCCCACTCATTTTTGGGAGGTGCATGAAAACAGATCCGCGGGTCTCTCGGAATTTGACCAACAGAAACTGACTGAGGTTCAGCCGAAATGCACAAGTATATTTCTAAACCAATAGTTCCGTATGGGTTAACTGTTCTTAATAATGTTACGTAATATTACATGAGGAAGAGGGGATTCATATTTCAATTCAAGAGCAATTTCAGAGCCTTGTGGTTTTTTAAAAAATGGGGAAATCTGTTTCCTAAGCAATGTTGGTTTATTCTTCCCCAAGTACAATTAGGAAATTGCAATGTATGTCAATAAATAAGAAAAAAAATCCCCTTGATTTACACATTTCGCAATTCAACAACATGTCTGACCATTTGTTTTTCTGAATTCCTCCAGCAGGTACTGGGCTTCTTCTTGGATCCGTTCCTCAACAGGTCTTTTTCCCATCCCGAAATTCCTCAAGGTGCTGAGCGTGAATTGACGGAGCTGTTTCCAACGTTCCCCATTAGCGAATGCAATCCCTGAAAAGGCAACACCCCAAACTCATAGTTAAGGAGGAAGAGGAGGAGGAAGAAGAAAAGGCAGAAGAACAAGACTACAATCTTACAAATTGCAGCCTTCTAGACCAGTCTTCTCCCAATACAATATAGTAAGACCCCATACTTTACTGTAAGTAACCACAGGGGATACATTCCCAACTTATCCACAGTTCTCTGAAACTGTGGATTTGACCAAACATCATTAAATTACCTGTTGTCCAGTCTCAGCATGCCATAGAGTTGTGCTAGAGAATTCAGAGACCTCTAAAGAGGAATCCTCTTTAGAAATTTGCTTGGTCATCCAGTGTGACTTTACAGTAACTTCTAGGGGAAGCATGCTAGATCCTACTAGATTTATCCCCCCAGGTGTGGATAAGTGAAACTAAAAATATGGGTTCTGAAGTTATGGGGTGGTGGTCTTAATGAGTTTCTTAAACTAGCAGTGTGAGGTTGCTCACTATGAGCCACGAAGCTAGTCTTCAAATTTTGAATTTCATCAACTAGCTCTTTGTGGTTCTTGGTTTATTCCTCTCATTTATTTATTTATTTATTTATTTATTTACCATATTTATATACTGCCTTTCTCAGCCTGAAGGCAACTCAAGGTGGTTTACACTCAGCATAATTCAATGCCCGCAACAACATAAAATATAGTTAAAACATTAGCATATAGTATAAAATATAGTTAAAACATTAACATATAGTATCATCTAGGTTGCTTCCTAGCATTTCTTTAGCAAAGTTGCCTAGAAAAGTAGAATTTTTGTAGGAAGTAATGAGATTCTCCATTAATGAGTAATGAATCCACCAAGGTCAACCAATTCTTTACAAGGAAACTTAACAAGAGTTTCTGCCAAAAAGTTCATTAATAAGCACTGCAACAAGTTGCTAAGATTAGGACCAACACAGTTAGAAGTTAAGAAAAACTAAACATTGACTAGAGATATGCTTCCATTGGATTGCCAGGTAGAGATACTCCAGTCCATTTGCTCTGGAAGAGTTGGCCTTAAGGAATATCTCATCACAGTTTGCTTTGAGATTAGCCTCTTAAATGAAAAAGTTAATCTTATATTTTCATACAGTTAGAATCCACCTTTGGGTGGAGGATCTTTGCCAAAGTTGAAAACCTGGATTTAAAATGACTTATTTTTAAATATCTGAAAGACCACTTCTTTAGGAATCTCTAAGCCAGGCATGGGCAAACTTTGGCCCTCCAGGTGTTTTGGACTTCAACTCCCACAATTCCTAATAACTGGTAAGATGGCTGGGATTTCTGGGAGTTGAAGTCCAAAACTTCTGGAGGGCCGAAGTTTGCCCATGCCTGCTCTAAGTCATACACTGAGATTCTATGGTCAATATCAATATAAAATTGTGCTGGATGACCAAGAGAGTCCTAGAAGCATCTCTCTCTCATCAAATCCACAAAAGTCAAATCGGAAAATGTGGAGGACCAACTGTATATTCTGTGTCTGTATGTTGATAAGCTGTGAGCAGTTGCTATTGGTATTCGATTCATAATACCTAATGATACCATCAGGTGCCATTCCTATATACCATGCTTTAATCCAGAATCTTAAGAGTCGAGTACAATCCTGAATTGAAGTGCTGGCAAGCTATGATAGTTGAAGATGTTTAAACTCAGACAACAGCGTAATTTCTTTGGAACTCACCTAATCCATGAACGAAGTCATCCACGGTGGCCAGAAGCCCTCTCCCACTGAACTCCTCAGCATGGTCCACCAGAGCTTCTTTGACTGCCTTGTAGCCATATAGGACTACCACACGCCGCGGGCCCAAATGGACTGTGAAGACAGGCCCGTATTGGTCTCTCAGCTTTAAAAGAAAACAGTCACAAAGTGAAGATCCTCTTCTGAGACACCTAGGAGCTAGCACCTGTCCCACTTCCTGGCCTTCAGGAAAATACTAAAAATATGGCTCTGGGATCAAGCTTTTGGCCAGTAATGGGAACAGTGCAGTAAAAGACTATAAATTAACATTAGTGACTTCCACTGGCCCTGGATTATGACCTGAATTATGTGATGTTAATTGCTTTTTTAATGTTATGTTTTAACTGGTTGGTTTTTAATGTTTTTGCTTATTTATCAATGATGTGTGTATACACAGCATCAAATTGTTGCATTTGTAAGGCCGCCCTGGGTCCCCTTTAGGGTTGAGAAAGGTGGGATGTAAGTGCGACAAATAAATAAATAGTTACCATATACTACCATCTGGCCAATACTGTCTGCTTGATGGTCCGTTGTTCTTCAAACTTTTAGGACAGGGAATGGGAAAGGTATGGTTTTCCAGATATTGGATGGAATCCTATACAACACTTACCCACATGAATGAATATTTAGGCTGTTGTGCAAGATAGTTCATGGCTGGGTATAACTAGTAGGGTATAAAAAAGGTAAAGGTTTTCCCCTGACATTAAGTCCAGTCATGTCCGACTCTGAGGGTTGGTGCTCATCTCCATTTCTAAGCTGAAGAGCTGGCATTGTCTGTAGACACCTCCGAGGTCATGTGGCCGGCATGACTGCATGGAGCGCCGTTACCTTCCCGCTGGAGCAATACCAATTGACCTATTCACATTTGCATGTTTTTGAACTGCTAGGTTGGCAGAAGCTGGGGCTAACAGTGGGAGCTCACCCGCTCCTCAGATTTGAACCTACGACCTTTCGGTCTGCAAGTTCAGCAACTCAGCGCTTTAACCCACTGTGCAATCGGGGGCTCCTTTTAGAATAGTGTATAGTGTAACTTAATTTGACCAGCAGATATTTACATTTTGCCCACTTCAGAGCACCAAGATTCATCTTTGTCCTCTCACCACAAGACTTATATTTATTTGCCTCAGAAAGGGCTATGCCCAGCCTGCTATCTTAGAATGACTCTGCAACTTGAGACTTGTGAATTGCTGCACTTCCTTGGGAACGGCTGCGCCCAGGTAATTCAATATGCACTTTGTGGCACGCATACCCTGGGCACATATTCAATCATTTTCTGGTAGTCAGAGAAGGTTGTTTCATCTAATTTTTTAAAAAAATGCACATTTTGTGGTGGAGTTTCAATAAATTTCAAGTGTAACTTAGCCTTTGCTTCTCCCATATTTTGAATATTTAGGGTGGGTGGGCAAAAATGGTGCAGAAGGTACAAAGGAATGATGGGAAATGCTGAAAAGCAGTGAAACACAAATGCAAAAGAGTTAAGTAACACCTCACTGCTTAAAAATATATGCTGCAAATAGTAAACACAAATCAATTCATGGCTGAATTAAATGTGTCAATCAAAATGGAGGAAAAATTGACACCGGATATTAGTCCAATGATGGGCAGTGTGTGATCCTCACATAGTCATTGTGCTGACATTTCCATCAACCCATGTCATTGTTGATGAATGTTGCAAATTGCAATATCTGGAGGATATTTGTCCATCACTGCATTAGATAAATAAAAGTGCATGGCTAGGTAGAACATGGCTAGGAAAGAGTGGAGATTCTGGAAAGATACTATATACATATTTAAATAATTAAATAGATTTCATTGCTTAAATAAACCATCCTACATATAGGGGGATGGTGATTTGAGGGTTGAACTAGGATTCTAGGAGTGAATATTACAGCAGACGCAGACTGCAGCAAGGAAGTCAGAATATGCTTACTTCTTCGGAGGAGAGCAATGACCAATCTTGAAAAAATAGTGAAGAATTGAGACATCACACTGGCAATGAAGGTCCGCATTTGTTGTTGTTCATTCATTCAGTTGCTTCCGACTCTTCGTGATCTCATGGACCAGCCCATACCAGAGCTCCCTGCCGTCACCACCCCCAGCTCCTAAAAAGGTCAATCCAGTCATTTCAAGGATACCATCCATCCATCTTGCCCTTGGTCGGCTCCTCTTCCTTTTTCCTTCCATTTTCCCCAGCATCATTGTCTTCTCTAAGCTTTCCTGACTTCTCATTATGTGGCCAAAGTACTTCATCTTTGCCTCTAATATCCTTCCCTCCAATGAGCAGTTGGGCTTTATTTCCTGAAGTATGGACTGGTTGGATGTTCTTGCAGTCCAAGGCACTCTCAGAACTTTCTTCCAGCACCACAATTCAAAAGCATCTATCTTCCTTTGCTCAGCCTTCCTTATGGTCCAGCTCTGACATGCATAAGTTACTATTGGGAATAGCTCTTGCATCCATAGGTTATTACAGGGAATATCATTGCTTTGACTATGCGGATCTTCGTTGCCAGTGTGATGTCTCTACTCTTCACTATTTTATCGAGATTGGTCATTCTCTCCTCCCAAGAAGTAAATGTCTTCTGATTTCCTGGTTGCAGTCTATGTCTGCAGTAAACTTTGTGCCTAGAAATACAAAGTCTGCAATTGCCTCCACATTTTCTCCCTCTATTTGCCAGTTATAAATCATTCCCCATACCTATGGATGCAAGAGCTGGACCCTAAGGAAGGCTGAGCGAAGGAAGATAGACGCTTTTGAACTGTGCTGCTGGAGGAAAATGCTGTGAGTGCCTTAGACCGCAAGAAGATCCAACCAGCCCACACTCCAGGAAACCTGGCTGCTCACTGAGGGAAGGATATTAGAGGCCAAGATGAAATACTTTGGCCACATAATGGGAAGATAGGAAAGCTTAGAGAAGACAATGATGCTGGGGAAAATGGAAGGGAAAAGGAAGAGGGGCCGACCAAGGGCAAGGTGGATGGATGGCATCCTTGAAGTGACTGGCTTGACCTTGAAGGAGCTGGGGGTGGTGATGGCAGACAGGAAGCTCTGGCGTGGGATGGTCCAGGAGGTCACAAAGAGGTGGAAACAACTGAACGAATAAACAACAACAACTAGGATTCTCGGCCATGAAAACTAATGGAGTGACCCTTGGGCAAATCACACTCAAGGTCCATCCAGGCAGGACCTTTATTGTGGTAACTCTCACAATAAAGGAGGGGCTGTCCAGATGACATTGTTCCCCCCCAGCTCTCCTGGTGTGTCATTTCTACATGCTGGGAGAGCCTGCTGGGGCTTTTAATTGAGCCCGGATCAGTTTTTATTACTTTTCTAAGGGGTCTGGGGGCTTGGGGGAAGGAAGTAGGGCCTCCAGATGTCTCTGTGGGATAAATCCACTATTTCCGGTGTCTGGAATGCAGAATACTAAATAAGCCTGGTAAACTGTGGGAATACCCATCATCTCCCCCTAAGCCCCCAGACCCCTTAGAAAAGTAATAAAAACTTACCAGGCCTCCATTACAAGCCTCAGCAGGCTCTCCTGTAGAAATGATGCTCTAGGAGAGCAGTGTAGGGGGGAAGCAATATTGTCTGGACAGCCCCTCCTTTATTGTAGGAGTTACCACAATAAAGGTCCTGTCTGGACAGGTCCCTAGGAAAATCCACGTTTTTTAAACACGGATTCTCCTGTGATAAAGGCCTGTCTGGATCCGGCATCTGTCACAGAGGAAGTCGATGGAAAACTCTCTGAATAAACTTACCATGAAAACCCTGTGATAGGGTTGTCTTAGAATAACTGTAAATCAAAAATGATTTGAAGGCAAATGACAATAAATATTCCATTTAAACTTGTCTTTTATTTATAAGTACAGTAGACCCACATACCTGTGGGACCAATATCCCAAAATCAGGATCCCTGTCTCAACACAATTACTAATATAGTTAATATGTTAAATGTGGAAATAACAAATTGCAAACGGAATAATATAGATAAAATTGGAAAGGTTACAACAACTAAGAGGATGTGGGAACCAGTTAGGAATTATTTAGAGAATGTGCTAAGATGTGGAGTAGAAAAATTAAGACTGAGACTGATATTTCAAATGTAACTTCTGTAGTTTGATGTATAAATTGCATGTACAAGGAGGGAAGGGCAGGAGTGGGGAAAAAACAACAACAATAAAAAACCCTCAATTACTAATGAGGGGGAGTTTAGAAACATCCATCTCCTTGCTTCAGTTGTCAGGAGAACAGACCATAGTCACTCGCAGTTGGGGGACCTGAACAATTGGAGCAGTAGCGGTGCAAGCATGAATACATAGGTTTTGTGAATATGGATTTGTAACTCTAGGTTATGAGCCCATAACTGCAATACTGAACTCCAGGCAATATTATAAATTGCAATTCAGATCCATTTCTTCACCCATCCCTCACAGGAATTTGGAAGGTTCTACAAGACAGCAGCTGATTGGAATCATTAATTACCTAGCAAACAGCTGCCAGTCAAGGTAATGAATACTCCAACCTTGTTGAAAGCAGGTTCCCATGGGGGGGGCGGGGGCGGGGGCGGGCAGGGGGGGAGAAATGGAAGAACCCTCTTACCTTCTTGAAATGGAAGAACCCTCTTACCTTCTTGAATGACTTCAATATATCATTGGCTTTCAGGTCTAACAGGTTGCCCAAAGCAGGGAGGGGAGTGGGGCCTGGCGGTAGGCTTCTTCTTTGGGCTATTTGGCTCCATGCTGACAGGAGGATTAAGGTGGAACAAAAAACCACCAACAAGAGCGAAATTGCTTCTCCCACGTCCATTGTGCCAAAGATGGCTGAGGTGAGTTTGGCTCTGGATTTCAAGAAGAAAAAGAGCTACAACCACCCTGGCAAGGCCCTGGTGTAATAAAAACATGAAGCAAAAACAAAAGGGATTGGTGTCACACCCTTTTTAGCAAACTTATCTCCCTGGCAGGTGCCCTTAGCTACGGCACATGGCCAGGTGCCCTTAGCTACTAGTGCCCAGATAGTAAACTTTCTGTGGTAAGTGAGATTGAAATTCTGTATAGCAATGTAAACATCTCTGGAGAAGTAGAGAATGGACATATATGGGTCAGGTCCAAGGTATCTGAAGGGTCGTATTCTCCCATTTGACTTTTCCCAGCTTTCGAGATCTACATGGGAAGCTTCTCACCATCCCAACAATGTCATTCACATATCAAATGGAAACAGAGGAGGGGAACTTTTTGGTGGCTGCTCCCAAACCCTGGGATTCTCTTCCTAGACAGGCAAGAGTGCCATCTCCTTTAGTATCATTTCATAAGCAGATGAAGACTTCTATTTTGTGTGTGTGTGTGAGAGAGAGTGTGTATGCAGAATCATAGAATCATAGAATCAAAGAGTTGGAAGAGACCTCATGGGCCATCCAGTCCAACCCCCTGCCAAGAAGCAGGAATATTGCATTCAAATCACCCCGGACAGATGGCCATCCAGCCTCTGCTTAAAAGCTTCCAAAGAAGGAGCCTCCACCACACTCCGGGGCAGAGAGTTCCACTGCTGAACGGCTCTCACAGTCAGGAAGTTCTTCCTCATGTTCAGATGGAATCTCCTCTCTTGTAGTTTGAAGCCATTGTTCCGCGTCCTAGTCTCCAAGGAAGCAGAAAACAAGCTTGCTCCCTCCTCCCTGTGGCTTCCTCTCGCATATTTATACATGGCTATCATATCTCCTCTCAGCCTTCTCTTCTTCAGGCTAAACATGCCCAGTTCCCTAAGCCGCTCCTCATAGGGCTTGTTCTCCAGACCCTTGATCATTTTAGTCGCCCTCCTCTGGACACATTCCAGCTTGTCAATATCTCTCTTGAATTGTGGTGCCCAGAATTGGACACAATATTCCAGATGTGGTCTAACCAAAATAGAATAGAGGGGTAGCATGACTTCCCTCGATCTACACACTATGCTCCCTTGATGCAGGCCAAAATCCCATTGGCTTTTTTTGCCACCACATCACATTGTTGGCTCATGTTTAACTTGTTGTCCACGAGGACTCCAAGATCTTTTTCACACGTACTGCTCTCTTAAGCCAGGCGTCACCCATTCTGTATCTTTGCATTTCATTTTTTCTGCCAAAGTGGAGTATCTTGCATTTGTCACTGTTGAACTTCATTTTGTTAGTTTTGGCCCATCTCTCTAATCTGTCAAGATCGTTTTGAATTCTGCTCCTTTCCTCTGGACTATTTGTCTATCCCTCCTAATTTGGTGTCGTCTGCAAACTTGATGATCTGCCTTCTACCCTTCATCTAAGTCATTAATAAAGATATTGAACAGGACTGGGCCCAGACGGAACCCTGAGCACTCCACTTGTCACTTCTTTCCAAGATTAAGAGGAAGCATTAGTGAGCACTCTCTGTGTTCGTCCACTTAACCAATTACAGATCCACCTCACCGTAGTGTTGCCTAGCCCACATTGGACTAGTTTCCTTGCCAGAAGGTCATGGGGGACCTTGTCGAAGGCCTTACTGAAATCCAGGTACGCTACATCCACGGCATTCCCCGCATCTACCCAGCTTGTAAGCTCTATCGAAGAAAGAGATCAGATTAGTCTGGCATGACTTGTTTTTGATAAATCCATGTTGACTATTAGCGATGACTGCATTTGTTTCTAAGTGTTTGCAGACCTCTTCCTTAACAATCTTTTCCAGAATCTTGCCCGGTATCGACGTGAGGCTGACCGGACGGTAGTTGTTTGGGTCATCCCTTTTTCCCTTCTTGAAGATTGGGACCACATTGGCCCTCCTCCAATCTGCTGGAACTTCTCCCGTTCTCCAAGAACTCTCAAAGATGGTTGCCAATGGTTCCGAAATGACTTCCGCTAGTTCCTTCAATACTCTGGGGTGTAGTTGATCTGGCCCTGGGGACTTGAACTCATTAAGAGCGGCCAGGTATTCCTGGACGACTTCTTTCCCAATTTGGGGTTGGATGTCCTCCAATCCTTCATCCACTCCATCTTGCTGAGGTTGAAGACTCTCTTTTTGTGAGAAGACCGAGGCAAAGAAGGCATTAAGTAGTTCTGCCTTTTCCCTATCCCCTGTCAGCATTGCCCCATCTTCTCCTCGAAGAGGTCCTATCGCCTCCTTGTTTTTCCTTTTTCTACTGACATAAGAATAGAAGCCCTTTTTATTGTTTTTAATGTCCCTGGCAAGTCTGAGCTCGTTTTTTGCTTTAGCCTTGCGGACCTTTTCCCTACAGGTGTTGGCTATTTGTTTGAATTCTTCTTTGGTGATTTCTCCCTTTTTCCACTTCTTGTTCATGTCTCTTTTGTGTCTTAGCACAGTTAGAAGTTCTTTGGACATCCATTCTGGCTTCTTTGCACTTGTCCTATTTTTTCTCTTTGTTGGCACGGTTTGCAATTGCGCCTTGAGTATTTCACTCTTGAGAAATTCCCATCCATCCGTAACTCCCTTGTCTTTTAGTATCTGTGTCCACGGAATGCTGCTCAGCGTTTCCTTCATTTTTTGGAAATCAGCTCTCCTAAAGTCCAAAATGCGGGTTTGACTTGTCTTAGTTTTGGCCTTCCTTTGTACCTCAAATTGCAGGAGCACATGGTCTTGGGGGATCTGATTGCATATGTGGAAAGGATGTTTCATAATGTCTTCTGTTGTTACAACAGAGGACATTATGAAACATCATTTCCCACATAAGTGATCAAGTTCCCCAAACCTTCCACAGTCTCTCTCTCTCACACACACAAATCAGAAGTCTTCATCTGCTTACGAAATGATACTAAAGAACATGACACTCTAATTTTAAATGGCTTTTGATTCTTCATAGTTTTAACTTGAAGTGATGTGAAATAATTGCTAGGATTTTTAGTTTCAGTTATGAATGCATAGCTTAGAAATACCCATTCATAACTATTTTGTATTCCTGATCCTTCTGTATTTAATAGGGTAGAGAAAATAATAATAATAATAATAATAATAATAATAATAATAATAATAATAATAATAATGTGTAGACTCTGCAAGGAAGCAGATGAAACAATAGATCACATCCTCAACTGCTGCAAGAAGATTACGCAGACAGACTACAAGCAGAGGCACAACACCATTGCTCAGATGATTAATTGGAACTTATGCCACAAATACCTTCTGCCTGCGACAAAAGAACTGGTGGGATCACAAGCTGGAAAAAGTTACAGAAAGTGAACACGTCAAGCTACTTTGGGATTTCCGAATTCAGAATGACAGAGTTTTGGAGCACAATACTCCTGACCTCATGATTGTGTTAAAAAATATATATGGATTGTCGATGTCGCAATCCCAGGTGACAGCAGGATTGAAGAGAAACAGGTGGAAAAGCTGACACAATATGAGGATTTAAAGATAGAACTGCAAAGACTCTGGCACAAGCTAGTAAAGGTGGTCCCAGTGGTGATCGGCACACTGGGTGCAGTGTCTAAAGACCTTGGCCTGCACTTAAACACAATCGGCACTGACAAAATTACCATCTGCCAACTGCAAAAGGTCACCTTATTGGGATCTGCATGCATTATTTGCCGATACATCACACAGTCCTAGACACTTGGGAAGTGTCCAATGTGTGATCCAATACAACAGCCAGCAGAATGATCTTGTTTGCTGTGGACTCATCTTGTTATGTTTCTAATAATAATAATAATAATAATAATAATAATAATAATAATTTTCTTCTTGTAACCTGCCACCATCTCCCCGAAGAGACTTGGAATGGCTTACACATGGCACAAGGTGCCTAAGAACACAACATAAAATAAAGCACAGTATAAAATACAATTGAATCAAACATATAGGCATATAAAACATCAACAAGACTCAATTAAATCAGCGCTCATCAACCAATGGCGGTAAACTACTGTAAACGTGGCCAGGCTGTAAACAATAGGACAAGGGAATGGGGTAAGTGCAGAACTGAACCATGGAACGAGGGTATGGAATGAAGTGCAAGGCTGCAAAATGATTGCATAGAACAACTAGGGGATAGGTGTTCTCAAAAGCTTGTTTGAATGGCCAGGTCTTGAGGAATTATAGGAATTATAAAAGCTTACAGAGCAGCAGATTCTGCAAGTGGCAAGGCTCTGTTCTCCTGTCGATTGGGATGCAGCAGACTATTTATTATTATTACTTTGCTTTTGATTGTTGCAGCAAAGGTTGCTGGTTGAAAGAGGGTGGAAACATTAGTTTGCTGTGTCTCAATTGACAGAAAAGCAGACCTCAGTTGCTCACAGCACCTTCTGCCGCTAACTACAGACAAGGCCTGGGTAAGCCAGAGGACACTACTCAGCTACACGACTATGTTAGTTATGTAATTAAAGACTTTTATCACACCAGCTTAAGATCTCATAAAGCAATTACATTGTTTAAGCAATTAGATACATCCTGGATTCAAAATGAACATTTTCACACGCTTGCTGCCATCATGCAATCTTTGTTGATTCTAAATCACGTGATGAGTTTCTGCACAACCAAGTTGATGCCACCTTCATTCCATCTGCAGCGGTGTTGTTGAACATTGGGATCAGGAATAAGAAAGGGATGGGCGGAAGATTCCGTAGTAATTCCAGAACTGCTGTGGAAGAAAAATATTGCACCAGAAATAGTGATACAACTTGTTGGAAATAGGCAACCTTCTCAAGCTTCCTCTGTTTTTAATGATTTGAAGATGACAGTTGAAAGTAGGCAGTTATAGAAGAGAGAGTTGTACAGAACTGTGTAGTGTTGAAGAGATCGATAAAGACTGAAAGTTAAAGACACAAACCAAAATGTTTTAAAGTTTAAACTAACAAG